ACTTTTTTAAAACACCTTTCTGGTCTTATTCATAATCCTTCATCAAATTATAATAACTTGTTCCAGTTCTGAAACATCATCTGTTTTTGGCTGATATCCCTTAACGTACGCACCTACTTTTTATAAACCAATCAGTTCTCAATGGATTAAATAAGGTGCCGCCCTACTTTTTTCCCCTCTTTGAATATTGTTACACTCTGAAATACGTTAGATTACACAATTATAAAACATATAATTATCAGCCTAAAATATCTAAAAGTTGAAAATATATATATATATTTACTTTTTTACAAAAGTTTGGGGTCAGTAATTTTTTTGTTTTTGAAAGAAGTCTCTTCTCCCTCACCAAGGCTGCATTTTATTTGATCAAAAATACAGTAAAAACTATAATATTGTAAAATGTTTTCGATTGTAAACAATTGATTTCTATTCTAATATAATTTAATATGTAATTTATTCCTGTGGTGGCAAAAATGAATGTTCAGCATCATTACACCAGTCTTCTTCAGTGTCACATGATCCCTCAGAAATCAATCTAATATGCTGATTTAGTGCTCAAGAAACATTTCTTATTATTATTGGTGTTGAAAGCAATGGTTTCCACAAAAAACTTTAAGAACCACTATGATTTTTTTTAATAGAAAAAAAAAAAAAAATGTGGGGATGCACAATATATCGGCCGCCATATCGGTATCGGACGATATATGTTAATTTTTAGTGTTATCGTTATCGGCCTGATAATAAAGTTAGGCCGATATATTAAAGCTAATAATTCATGTAGATTGCAGATGCACTGGTTAGCATAATGGTTTGGAATTGCTTGAAATGTGATCGGACAAAAAAATAAAAACACAGTTTTATGTCCGTCATATAATAATGTGTGCTTGGGATATGGATTTTAATGGTGAGACTTTTGTTTTTGTAATAAGACTCTCAAAAATGAAAAAAAAAAAAATTGGATTTAGATTTATCGGCCAATATATCGGTTTATCGGCTTTCAAGTATAAAGAATCATTGGTTATCGGTATCGGCCGAAATGTTAATATCGGTGCGTCCCTAAAAAAGCATTTATTTGAAATGTCTAACAATGTGTCTTTAGACTCTTTAACCTCACTTTTGATCAATTTGTTTGTCCTTGCTGAATAAGTGTTATTTATTTATTTTTCAATCTCTTACTGACCCCAAACTTTTGTGTACAGTAGTGTGTACAATATTGCGACATCTAAGGACAGAAGCACAATTTAACAACTTTAAACATTGAGTCTGAAAGGTCTGGTGCAAGACTGTGGATCAGTCTGTTATATGATGTCTATGCATTCATTCTTTATATCAAAAGCTCAAGACTACACAGCTAAACACTGTTTGCCACATCGATAGTTTCTTTCCGGGCTGCTTCTGACCAATGTGTAAAGCTTGCCGTGTCTTGTCTACGCCTTTACCAACATCTTTGCATATCACGTTGAGCTTGTGGCATATCTCTTAACAGCAGCTTGAAGCATGTTTTTACAGCATTTGAGATATATTTCCAAACTTCATAAATGTCTGATTTAGAAGGATTCATCAGATTGCATTGATAAGCATGACTCATTTGTGTTGTGCTTGTGTTATCCATCACACACATCTGACCAGTAACAGCCGAACCCTTGCATTAGTCCCAGCTGAGATGCGAGTTGAAGTTGCTGTCTTACTGACACCAAACAAGAGCATGGCTGTGTGTGTGTGTAATACAGCATAGCTGACAAAACAACAGCTGCATTACACTTTTACTTTTACTGCCTTCCTTCCTTCCTTCTGCTTGATCCTCACAGTTTGTCGTTCCCATTATTTCCCCATCCCTCCTTCTTTCTGCCGCACTCAGCTTCTGCAAACACATGTCTGTCCAACGCGTTGCTTTCATTTTCACTGCAGTTTTAAAGAATGGTGGTTTCCCTGCTTTAGTTGAAACTCTTCTATTATTTGAGCCAACGGGAGGGGCGACACAAACATGTTAAGCATGTAATATTGTAAACAATGTACATTACTATCTAAAGGTATTTTCCACATTTTAGATAGGGACGCAATATATTAGAACCAAATCAGATGATGGTAGAGATGTTTTGGTAACACTTTACTTGAAGGGGTGTGGATAAGACTGACATGACACCTTCATAATCATGATATGGCACATGTGACAACTGTCATTAAGTGTCTTTTCGCTCAGTTATGACATTTTGAATGCAAATATGATGTGTTTAAGATGTCTTTGACATGACATCTTGACATTAAATGAAGTTAAACTGTCATGTGGTTGGCTTTGACATTGGCTGTCATGAGGCATTATAACTGTGTCATGAATATTTTTCGTGACCTCAACTACAGTGGTACTAATTGAATTTGTCATTAAAAAGTTATAATCATGACAGCCGATGTCAAAACCAACCAGCTGGCAGTTTAATGTAATGTTAACCCATAAACCTAGGTGCTTTCTTAAGTTTGATCATTAATCATGTTTATGATAGGTTGTGTTGTCTTACTAATGTCAAGTTGTCATGACAAACACTGACAGGTTATGATGTATTGGTTTATGTCAAGGTGTCATAACAAAGACATCTCAAACAATGTCATATTTGCATTCAAAATGTCACAACTGAGTGAATGACACTGTCACAAACATGCATAAAACATAGGTTATGTCATGATTATGAAGGTGTCATGTGAGTCTTATGCACACCCCTTCAAGTAAAGTGTTACCGATGTGTGTGTATATCTGCCGATATTGGATATATGCTAGTGCATGCTCATTTCCCATTAGATTACCTTTGCTGTCCATCTTTAAAAACATGACTAATTTAGTTACACTGTTAAATGTCATCTTTAGCAAATCTCAAAATTAATATTTTTTTTTGAATAATGTACACTTATAATGATGTGATGCCTAAATTCACTTGTAGCATTTAATATGATTTAAGTTGATAGTGTTTTATTTTAGACCTAATAGAATTTATTTGTCTTTCGCCATTTGTCTGTTATCACTACAGAACTTAATTATTATTAGCTTATCGATTTAGATTTTTAATATTGGTGCATCCCAAATTTTGCAATAATAGTAAAGGCATTAACTCATCTTTTTAAAAGAAAATTCATATGCAAGCACAATATACACTGCTGTTTAAAATTTTAAGGTGAGATTTTTGTAAATGTTTTGATCTCTTATTCTCACAAATAGATTTGATAAAATACAGTAAGGACAGTAGTATTGTGAAATATTTCTTATTTTAAAATGTAATTTATTCCTGTAATGGCAATGCTGAATTTTCAGCATATTTTCTCCAGTCTTCAGTGTCACATGATCCTTCATAGGTCATGATGATTTGCTGTTAAAAAACCTTTTCTTTTTTTTTTAATCACTATTTTTGGCATTTTTTTCAGTATTATTTGAATATGAAGTTCAAATAATATATATATATTAGGGCTGTCAAACGATTAATTAAAATAAAATAAAAGTTTGTGTTTACATAATGTTTACATTTTTCTTTAATATATACAAGCATGTGTGTGTATTTATATATACAAAATAATTATACAGACTACACACACAACAAAAACATATATATGTATATGTATGTATATATGTATATATATATATATATATTGCCCAGCCCTATAATATTATAACGATATTATATATTATAACGATTAATTGCCCCAAAATAAAAGTTTTTGTTGTGTGTGTGTGTGTGTAGTCTGTATAAGACTTAAAGAAAAATGTGTAATAATATATGAAATATTTTATATATAATATTATGTAAAAAGTATATATATATGCAAATATTTCTTAAATATATATACATGCATGTGTGTGTGTGTATTTACATATACAAAATAATTATACACAGTACACACACACATATATTATGTAAACACAAACTTTTATATTGGATGCGATTAATCGTTACCCAGCCCTTATATATATATTTATATCTTTTTTAAAATTTCTTTACTCTTACATTTGGTCAATTTAATGTGTCCTTGCGGAATAAAAAAAGCATTAATTCCTTTCATGAGAACAAAAATTTAAACAGGAGTGTATGTCTTTTTAAAACAATTAAATCATTATTTTATATTTAATAATAATAAAAAAAATCCACATTAAGTTATTTAAATGGTATCATTTAGAGGGTGTGTTTGATGATGGTAGGAAGTGCTGCTGTGAGAGAGGACTCTCAAATTCATGATCCGTTACTTTCCCTTTCGCACAGTTGCAATTCTTGCAGCACCAAATGCAACAGCAGCAAATGGGTATGGCAGTGGGGGCGGCACAGTCGGCGCTGCCACGGCAACATTCCGTCAACCAGCCAAGAAGTAAGAGGAAACGCAGCACGCCACAGCCCCTCCCCAAATCATGACCCCCCGACCCCCTCCACTAACCCACCGAGAGGACGTCAGCAAACGGCACTGTGCTTGATCCGCAGCATTTTATGGACTGACTGTGGCTCAACCGGACTTAAGTTACAATTTTTTTTTTACGTTCATAGGGGGTGCAGGAGTTTCCCGCCTGACCTCAGGCCAGAGCACTATTCGTATTGCATCGAGGACATTAGAGCAGGGGACCTTAGAGTATTACCATATTTTTTAAAAGAAATACAAGACATGAAATGAGACAATTCTTCTTGTAGGGTTCCCTACGGCATGCTGTCTTTATTCTCCTTCCAAATGGCCCTTTCAACGAGAGCCTGTTCGGCTCGAGAGGGTGGACCCTACGCACACTAATAAGGGCCGTACAGATGTGCCTCAATCACCTGTTGCTCAACTTTACCATTATGAGAAATCCTTCTTCTCTACTGCTGGATGTCAGATCGATGGGCTGCCTTGTCCCAGCGTGTGCGGTTTTTATACGGCACATTTTAAAAAGGCATTTTGTTATACTGAGGGGGGAGTTGATGTATATTCTTATGGAGAAAAAAAATCTAATCCATGTGAGTGGATGACATTTCTGAACACTGAGGCAGAATTTTTGTAAATGATCTTTGTCGGCAGTTTTATTGTGATAAAAAAGAAAGTATATATTGACAGTGAAAAATACAACTTTTAGATAAAAATGTCACGACTGTGTGTGTGTTTATTTCGTCGTCTTCATGCTCCCGATGACTTTGTCCACTAGTTTGCTGATCTCTTTGTTTCTCGTTATGGCTCGATTGATGCAGTGTTGTAGCTTCTCACCGGATAACGACGTCCCACCTAAAGCAAAACATTTGTTTTTAAATCTACAAATAATATTCAACTAAATCTACAGACCACAAAAACTCAAATCTGACGATACTCATCTATAATCTTGACTCTTTGGATCCAAAATGGGTCATTTATGTGATCCGTGTAGATTTGATGATTTTTGTTTTCAATTGATATAAGAATCGACAAGAATTGAAAAAGAGAAGCTTTAAGGTCTTTTTCCGCCAAAATAAAAGCTCTATGGTTTAAGAAATTAAGACATTAAATAAAATTATATTATGAATTACTCATTTTACAGTACAAAAGCATTTCGTTTATATTAATGCATTTGGTAAACGCTTTTATCCAAAGCGACTTTATATAATTTAACTAAATATACTCTTTCTTTGTCATATGGAAGCTTGTTTTTTTATTTTTTTTTATTTTGCAATTCTAAGTTTATATCTCGCAATTCTGACTTTTCTCTCTCATTTCTGACTGATTTGATCTAGCAACCCAAGTTTATCTCAAAATTCGAACTTTTTTCTTACAATTCCTTGTTTTATATCTCGCAATCCTGATTTTATTTTTAGCAAATCCGAGATTCGCACAATTTTAAATTTGTCTTGCAATTCTAACTTTATTTCTAGCAACCCAAGATTCTCAATTAATTTTGATCTAGCAACCCAAAATTCTCATTTTCTAACTTTTTTTTGTTCTTGAAATTCCGCGTTTATCTCACAATTCTGGTTTTATTTGTAACAATTCTGAGATTGTCACAATTCTAACTTTTTTGTTCTTGAAATTCCGTGTTTATATCTCACAATTCTTGTTTTATTTTTAACAATTCCGAGATTTTTACAATTCTAACTTTTTTTTTTTCAGTTCTGACTTTATTTCTAGCAATGGGCTATATGCACGCATAAGTTCCGCATTTGACGTAAGGATGCTCGTCCATTTCCGGTTGTGGAGATTAAAGCGGAGGAAAACCGGAGAAAACGGGATTATGGCAGAGTCTTCAATATTTACTGTCCTCCCGTCTTTGAAACGAAACGTACATACGTTTAGATGTAATTTTATATATAGTTATGTTTATTTAATATAATTTTAAAAAGAAGCATAAACACAACGAGGGGTGTCTGTTTTATCTGTTTTTGTGACTAACGTTTCATTAGTATAACCATGGAGTATAAAATTCAATATTAATTCTCGGTATTGCATTGGACTCTATGATCGGCGGAAGTTATCGAGCATCCTTAATCCTTCACCGGAAATAACGCCGTGCATAGAGCCTATTCCAAAAATCTCTTTTCTCGCAATTTCGAGTTTATAAAGATGCTTAAAATTGCAAGTTATAAAGTTTTGTTTTTTTAAAGTTTTTTTTTCCCCCATGGTGGAAACAAGCTTCTATAATATTGCCTTTTTCACCACGATGATATTGCATCTATGGATGCTGTAAATAACCTGCAGCTTTGTGTCAAATGTCTTGATGTTCACCTGGTTTGTGGACGGCACAGAGTCGATCCTCCTCGTCTGTTACCACAGTCATTAATGCTGTAGACAAGCTTTCCTCTTCCGCCGTGGGGTCGACGATGATGATGGAACTGCGAAAGGAGGAAATGGAAAAAGTGTCTGTGAACTCATTCTTGTCATTTCTAAAGAATTGTATATTGATCTGAGACCAGTGTTCTCGTTTTTAATCATCATGTTAATTTAGCTAAACTAAATAGCGTATTGTGTAATAGAGAAATATGTTAATTACTCATCAAATACTGCAAACGATGAGCCAACTGGGTGCCGGCTGATCTTCAAGTGTCTCTTCTTCCGGATGTCGACTTCTGCTAAATCTGTCTCTTTGTTTACAGTGACTTCAGGAAGTTGGGCTGAGAAATTGGAAACGTGTTTATTAGTCTTCATAACAGCAGGAAGATATTATATTCAGATGAAGTGCTCACCGTTCTTTAAAGCTGCCAGCAAAACTATGATGCAGGCGTCAAGTAAGTTCCCATCGTAATCCAAACACATGATATCACAGTACAGCACCCAACAAAGCTAGAAAATAAGTGATAAATGAAATGCATGGAGTTTTAATTCATCAATGAAGATTCTATTATAAACACACACATACATTATTATATCTTACCTTAGCTTTTTCAATGCACAATTCCTCCATATTTATTAAATCTGAACTGCAGAGCAGAAGAGAATAAACAAGACTTAAGTAATAATAACCAACATTATTTACAGGCTTGCTAAGATGTATAAGAAAAACATGTTTCCTCTTTTTTGACAACCAATCAAGTTGCTTTTACCCACAAAAAAATGGTATTCTTGAGTTGTACCTCTCAATGACGTCTGCGATAAATTGGCTGGCGGCCTGAGCCTGTTCTCCTGGTGGTCCGGGTCTGAATCTAGACGAGCACAGTGGAGGCAGATCTACATTTGGGACTTGGAGACCAAAGAGGAACTTTGTTCAAAATTTCATTCAACACCCCAATGTATAACACACGTCAGTTACCCAGTTATTACATTTACCTATATATCCTTTATTTGGAGCATCAGAGGGTGGCGTAGTTAATTCCTGTGAGAACAAAATGCTGTAATTTCATTATCCACCACCATATCATAGCTTTGAGGAAAATAAAAATGATTCTTACAGCTTTTATCCCACAGATTACTGTGGTGTTTCCAATCTTCACCATTGCTGATCCATCGGCTGTAGTTATGGAGCCTAGAAAGACAGGTTTATCCAATTATATCTAATGCATTGAAAATTATTTCAATGTGTTGTTCTACAATATGCATCTAATACTTACTAATATTTAAGGTTGTGGGTCTAAACTCTCCCAATTCTCTTCCATCTGGACGACAGTTTTCTTTCTGTGGAATTTTAAGATTAATTGATTATTAGATCTACATTATTACCTGCTGTGTTATAAGTTATAACACTGATTCAAATTCATAGCTGACAGAAATCAAAACGTTGATAACTCACCAAAAAGCTCCTGTGATATTCAAGAGGCTCTGCGGTTCTAGAAAACAAAACACACACACACAATATATTTACGTTAAATAGAGCGAAATCACAATCAAAACCTCTACAATATTAAATAATTATTAGTTATTCAGATAAAATCTACTTTTGTGTTGACTTACTTGAAACCAGCCGCCATGATGTTTAGAAGCACCACGTGAAACCTGCAGTGACGTAAAGAGTTGAATCTCTCGTCCTCCGCTCCAGTGGGGGGCGCTAGTGCTGTTTTCAACCCGCCGCTCTGTGCCTTCTTCGCCCGCTGTGATGATGTGGTTTGTCTGGGACGACTTCCGCATAGGTGTTTCTCAGTGACTGGAAGTGAAGTTCAACAACAGAAATTGAACTCTTTATTCCGTAAATTTGTTCGACACCCATTCATACATGTCCCGCCTCACGGAGTCTCATTTTAAGGCTGTTCTGTATGAAACTGTAGTAGTTTAGCTGTAAACTGGCGAGCTTCCCTTCACTGATATGTTGACTGGGAAATGGATGATGGATTTCTGTGTGTGTGAATTATTGCAGTGTTCGATGGTCCTGGCTCTGATCGCCTTACTTTTGGTAAATGTATATCTTATCATTTTTATATTATTTTTTGTAATTTTAATATTATTGTGGATTTTTTGTTTATGTTTGCTCTTAGTGACCCATCCATGCTGTTGTTCTTATTATTAATAAGAAATTAATTTGCAATGACATTGTTCTTTTGAAATAGTTCTGTTGAGCTTCACCGATTCATCCAGTTGAACTAGTTACTCCTTTGTGTCACACCTGTTTGTTTCTGCCTTTAGGTTGTTGTGATTGCTCATGTCACTGCTCAGATGGTAGATCACACTCGCCATGAGAAGGAGAAGCACTATTTGACTGCAAAGGGCGAAAAAGAGCCTTTTCCCAGTCTGATGGACCCTCCCTCACTGGAGCTGTCTGTGGTTGTCCCTTCCTATAACGAGGAACTCAGATGTGAGTTATTTTGATGATTGTATATATATAGTTTAGGTTAAAAACCTCACTGAATCCCTTTGGCTCAAAATCATTAACCTCCTCTTGGCAATAAGATGATTTATATTGGTAATGTTTGTCTCTGTTTTATCACAAAGTGCCTGCTATGATGGATGAAGCCATGGAATACCTGGAGAAAAGACAGGTGAATGTCTATTAGGAAACAACAGGCTTATTAGTTCTGTTTTTCTGACTAAAATGTTTGTGATAGTGGTTGTATTATAACAATCATTATTAAAACAAAATTAAAAGAATGGATCAATGTTAATAAATTGTCATTAAATATAAGTAAAACTAAAGTGATTTTATTTGGTAATAAAAAATAAATAAATACAAATGTCCAAATTAGAATTGAAATGTCTGAACTAGAAATAGTAAGTGAAATTAAATTCTTAGGTGTCATTATTGACAACAAACTTATTTGGAAATCCCACAAAAATTGCAAAAACTCTGGCCATCCTGTCCAAAAATAAAACACATTTTTGATTCAAAGGCCTTAAAAGTATTGTATCAGTCTCTAATAGTGCCATATTATTGCGTAGAGGTCTGGGGAAATACATACAAAACATCAATAAAACCAATTCTTCTTTTGCAAAAAACGTGCAATACGACTAATAAATAAAACAGATTATAATCATCCAAGAAAAAAATATTTATAAACTCCAACCTACTAAAATTTAATGTTTTAGTAGAATTTAAAATAGCCAAAATAATGTTTAAAATATTCCAGAAATATTATGAACTCAGACGAACACTCATGTTCAATAAACCACAGATTAGAACAAATGTTAAACACAGATATATGTGCTGAAAACATGTAAATCTATAGGCAGCTGTAAGAAATTGTGTGTATATATATATATATATATATTAAAAAGATTACATTATACAAAGCTGAATAAATTTAGCTTTCCTTTCTTTTAGTTATTATTTACGCAAGATGACTTTGGTATTGTGTGTTAAATAAATAAAATGTAAAAAGGATCGCTGCAATAAGCAACTTTTCTTTTCTTTGTGTTTTATTATTGTTTATACTGTAATTTCACTTTTGTTTCCATGTTTGTTTGTAAATTTATTTTTGAAGTTTACCAAAATAAAATTATAATCAATAACATGTGTACTTTAAATACGCATTTAAAACAAGTATACATTTATAAATAAAAGTGTAAACACATCTGCGTTCACTTATGATGCCACACGTTTTCTTTGAATCCTTATGGATGTTACTTCAGACTGCTGAATTTTTCATCACCACTAGATGGCATCGCTGTAACTAAATTGACTCTGTTTAACTAATTTGTCCTCTTGTTGATTTGACAGAATGAGAATCCATTATTCACATATGAAGTTATTGTAGTAGATGATGGCAGCAAAGACAAAACTACAGAGGTATTTTTACGTCTTATTGTTATTATTCATTATAATATATAAGATGAATAATATATAATGATCAAACTGAATTCTTGATCATATGTATCCTCAGATTGCCATGAAATACACAAAAAAGCATGGAGCACAAAAAGTGCGAGTTCTGACGTTGGTGAAGAACCGTGGAAAAGGCGGTGCAGTTAAAATGGTAATAATGCAAAAAGCACCCAGTCCTCAGCTAAAAAGTCTTATTTTGCACACACACTTAGTTCAACAGTTGCTATAATGATGTGTTTGTCTCACTCAGGGAGCACTAAGCTGTCGTGGGAAGCTCATTCTCATGGCTGATGCCGACGGAGCCACTAAATTTGCTGACATTGAAAAGGTGGAAGAAGCTCTTGAGAGCATCAGTGAGAAGCCTGTGAGACTCCACTTTTTCTAAATATAAATAGACATGCAGCAATTCTCAGAAGAGTTGGTATGTGGATTACATATTTGTTTGAAGCATAACCTGGAGCTGGAGTTCTCAAATTACTTGCAGACCTTTCTTTGCCAAACTAAAAATGTTTTTCTCTCATTTCGATGCAGGATAACATGGCGATCTCCTGTGGATCCAGGGCTCACTTGGAAGAAGAATCAGTGGCTCAGGTATTCAGTGTTTCTCAAATATATTGGAGCATAATAGCTAATGTTCTTGAGGAAATTCAGTCTTCTGTTTCTTCTTGTTGCAGCGGTCAATGTTCCGGACGTTTCTGATGTATGGATTCCACTTCTTGGTGTGGTTCTTTTGTGTGAGGGGGATTAAAGACACACAATGTGGATTTAAGCTCTTCACTCGTGAGGCTGCCTTGAAAACTTTCTCCAGCCTGCATGTGGAACGCTGGTAAGGACACTTATGGGTAGTGTAATATTTTATAACTGTTTGTGAATGTAAAATGTCGAATGTAAATGAATTTTGGAGTTATTGTCTACCAAAAGAAATAATTCCGGTCCTACATCCTGCTCGAACCCATGTAGGTTTGTAGCAAATTTGCATAATGCCTGGGAAGCTAGCGTCGCATGGGTTCCCTCGATCGAAAAGCTATGCATTTTCCCCATAGACTTTTGGAAAATCGCAAAAAATAAGATGTGTCCAACAAAGAGATGTGACCCTTACACGTTTTGTCTATCAAGATAATCTTTACAAGTGAATACAAAATTTATAAATTTTGAAGCCTATATAAAGTTTAAAAAAAAAAAATTATAGGTTATAACTGTGTGTTTTATGTCCTAGATCAAAACGTGAAAATATTTAGCGGCTTTGTTAACCACAGACTTTATTTTGCAAAAACCCATTCAAAAAACCCATAGACTTTAAAGCGAGGGAACCGGTAGTGCTAAAATGCTAACTCACTTCCGCGTTTTGGCCTACAAAGTCACGTCGTAACTTCGGCACTCTATTATCAAACTGTTTCAGACCCTGTGATAAAAGAGGTCATGCTGCAGTGTATTTTATGATAAAATTGTGTTGTATTTTGGCCTTGGATGCATAAAAACCTTTTGTAGACTCCAAAACTAAATTAGGAACCTTTAACATAGCATAACAGGGGCGCTACTTTTGCAAATATAGCATCAAATTCCAAAAAGCATTTTTTATTTAAATTTCAACCTCTTAATTAAAATAAAAAAATGTGTCCTACAGGGCATTCGATGTGGAACTTCTCTACATTGCTCAGTGTTTTGACATCCCTGTATCAGAAGTGGCTGTTAATTGGACAGAGATTGAAGGTTTGTGCTGTCAGTTTTGAAATATAATGCAATTAAAATAATCAATACCGTCTTTTTTTCTAGCAGTGTGCGTCTCAAAAATGAAGGTTATTTCCACTATGAGCTAATGAAGACTTGTTTTTTATTGCACATTTAGGGTCAAAGTTGGTGCCGATCTGGAGTTGGCTACAGATGGGCCGGGATCTAGTCTTTATCCGACTGCGTTACCTCACTGGTGCCTGGAGGCTGGAGTCTGAGAGAAAAACTCAGTAGCTGCTGTGACTGCGTGTTACAGTGCGCTGTTCGTGAGCTAACAGATGGTTAAACACACAGCCCTTTGCCACAAATGAGTGCACTGCGTACGCAATCGGTGAACAGCATTAGCATTTCATTATCACTCACCGTGCCGTGACCACATAAGGGGATTGTCCTTGTATTTTTATTTTTTTAATGTAATATCAAGTTTTTCTTTTACATGCTATAGGTTTGGTTTTGAAATGGGGCAGATGGTTCTTGGCTGAATAAAGAACAATTACAATCCGTTAGCGTTCCTGCGTTTACAACTAATTTAAAAATGTTGCACAGAACCAGATGAAGACAAAATGATGCAGTTTTTACGACACTTTTTTTAAAAACTATTATTAAACAAGCTTATTTGAAAAATACTGATTTATTCAGAGCACCAAAGTATAATTTCTGGGCTTGATTTGTAGTTTAAAAAAAATTATGTAGTGTGTGCTTAAAATCTGTACCACCCAAATCCATTTTTCCATGGCAGGGCCACAGCTAGGGTATCCGGGGCCCAGGTGTGGGTTGTTCCTGTGGGGCCCCCCAAAAGCCTCTTTTCGCCCCTCTAGCGACAGACAGCTCTGGTCCATGATCTGGTGTGCACCCTGGAGAAAATATTCTGTTTATCCTCCTTTTCTCTCCATCAGGAAGGCATTTGTTCTTAGTCAGATCCTTGTCAGCCCCTCTAGAAGATGGTGGTATTTCAACATTTTCACAGATAAATTATTTTTAAAATGAGTTATTTACGCAGCTATTGGTGTATTGTATTTCTTCCGTCTGCTCAGCCTTAAATATAGCGGCTCGTGAGTAATTTATATTATGTACACGTTATGATCCTGTGCACCTTGATTGAAGAGGATCATTTTGCGGTGTCATTTTAGTGGAAGCGAATTCCCCCTGCCAAACTCATTTGATCAAAGAGAGCACTAAATATGCGAGCTGTCATTATCGGGAGTATTGTTACGTTCCCCTGCAGTTGTTGTAAACTGTGAAAATGTCAAACTTCTAGACTCTCTGTCGCCATCCTGGCTTGCGTCATTAACTGGACAAGTCACTCTACGCACACAATCGACGTGTATCCATCCGCGCCGAGGAGTGAGAAGTAGGGCTATCGATAAGCTCTGGCGATCCGCCAGTCTGTCACCAAATATTCTACTACTTTAGTTTCTACTTTAAATTAATCAATATTCTGCTTCCAATTTCGAAATATATAAAAGGTAAATGGTTAGAGAGCTTTTTATATTTTTAGTAACAACTATTGTTTTGTTTTGTTTCGCCTAAAATGATTAAGTAATTCGAAAACGGTTCGTTTTAATCACAGTGTGCCGATGTAATGGCCAGCTTGTGAGTTGGGTTGACCCAAAACAATTCTAAACCCCCCTTAAAGGTAAAAAGGATGGACGGTGTCTTAACGTACAGACAAATGTTTCTGCCGCCATTAAAATATGAAATCTTAAGGCCAATTTATACTTCTGCGTAGGGTGCGCGCAGTAGGTACGGCGTAGCACACGCACAGACGCGTCCCATACCGCGTACCCTTCCGCGTTGCCTGACGCGCACCTCTTCAAAAATGTAACTACACGTCGCGACGACGCGGACCGCAAGATCGGTGATTGGTCGGCTTGGTAGCGTCGTATTTCCTCCTACGCATTTCCGCACGTATTCTCACGCATTTCCACACGTACCATCTCCTCCGACGTCTTCTGTCATTTCTGCCTTTCAGTTTTAGTAATTTCACTAAAATGAACTGTTTTTCCACCCCAATAAGCTCCAACTCCAACATGATCCACTCTCTTTCAGTCGCTATTGCTTGTAGTAACCTAGCCGCGAGGAATCTAAACACAGTGGAACATTAAAACCCTCCGCCGCCAACTAGCGTTTCGGAGCAATACTGCAGAGCAACCAATACCTGAACGCAGAAGTATAAATGCTCACGACGGCGTCGCCTACGTGCGAAGCCAACGCCGTACACTACGGCGTAACCTCGACGCAGAAGTATAAATTGGCCTTTAGTGAGAAGGCGCTCGTGATCAAGAGTTGCGTTCCTTGTAACCATAGCAACATTTGGCTGCTCGAGCATCCCAATCTCTGTCGGGATCGATATCCGACGGTACATCGACAAAACGTACTACTTACACTATTTATCACCAATTTTTAAACAAAAACATTATATAGTACTTTTGTTTGAAGCGTTTTTGAACTTTAAAGCGCGCGAATTGCTCAAAATTCCTCTGAAAGGTATAGGCTAGACCGCTTGAAAGTCACTGAATAATCGGCCGCACACTGGGAATGATTAAAAATGAAAGTCATAAAAACATCAATATAAAAATACTTTGTACACAATCACTTTCCCTTTTTACAACTTCCTGTAAAAGAAAAAAACAGCTGTCTGCGCTTGTCATCCGTCACTGAAAGCAAATTAAAAGTGACACACTGCTGCCCACAATGAGCCGTTTTCCCTCAATAATTGGCCTGTGAGTGAGTCTCAGGCTGTTTTTTTGAACGGGATGATCCCTCTGTGTCTGACGTCCTGGGAGAGTTCCAGGAGCAGCGGATGAATTCCGCACGAAGGCGCTGAGGCTCCAGTCAGACTGACGCCGCGGCTCTCGCTCCATCCAAACACACGCGCTGGAGCTACACCTTCAATCGGCGCGAGATTCAGCATTCGGGATTCGGCTGTTTTGCGGAACTACGCGGATTGTTATTCGATTTGTCACAAGAATAAGGTAATAGATGAAACGTGTTTTATATACCACTTCTGATATTATTTAGAATTTATTTCAGGACTTAAAAAAAGTAAAAGTTTTGTAAATAATAAAAAATAAGACACGTGTCTTTTTTTTAAACTTTATTTTCCTGTATTTTTTTATTTTTCACGTTAACTTGTTGCTTCTCACATGTTAGTCATGTCATGCGTAAACAGACATTATGCCACTTGCTGCTTGGGCGAATGATGCTGCTCCAATGATACGTTTGTGACAGTTGTGTAGCCTACCTGGCATACTTTTTTATATATAAATAAGTGCCAAGTGTAGCATTTAAACAGTTCTTAAAGCAAGCAAACAAACAAAGTGAAGTTGAGGGAAAGGATGTGTATGCGCGTCTGCGGGGGAGTTAGGTGATTAAGCCTATCTCAGCACTCAGACTGCCAGACGCCAGTTTCATAAGGACACACTGCCTTTGAGAACAGAGCAGATGTATTCACCCTCAGTTGATCTGCATGTGCATATTTGCAACTGAGCCATGATTTCATACGCTGCTATTATGGCCTCATTCATCTCATACGATTATTTGATTTAGTTGGGGGTGTGTGTGTTAACACACCTCTGGTATTGCATGCAATAATATTTTCAGAAGCTGTTATTTGAATAGACTTGGCCAAATATGGAAGCAAGCCTCTCTGGTTTCAAATGCTCAAACGGCATTGATTTTTAGCAGATCATTTTCTGCATCAGAAAGCCTTGACAGGAAAGGGAGAGGACGAATAGGTGAGGTCCAGCGAAAAACAGAAGGACCTGTTGACTCAGAAATCTCTGCATGCACTCAAGCATGATGTAAAAGATCTTGAGATCTGCACATGAATGTGTTGTGATTACACTATAGGGTGAATCTCACAAAACATGTCAAGAATATGTTCATATCCCCAAAATCATAAAAAAATAAGTATTATATTTTGCTTGCAGAAAATTGTGCTTTATAGCTTAAAATTTGTTTTGATTTGGATATAGTTTGACATTATTTTTCATGACAATTAAGCACATTTTCTTCCCTATTTGTTATTACTGTAATGCAAAAGGTAGGCTATGTTTTACTAAATGCTTAAATAAAAAAAATATAAATATTATAAATATATAAAAAAAAATATATATATATAAAATAAATTGTAAATGATTTATGTCAGTTAAAAAAATGTGTTAGATATTTTTTTATTTAATTTTCAAAAATAATTTAGATAAAATAATGTTTTGTATTAATTTAATCACACACATATCCACATACATAAATATCCACATACATAAAATTCTGTGTGCATATATATAGGCTATATACACACACAACATTTTTGTATCTTTTATTTGTACATTTTTGTATCAAGTCATTATTTAAAATTCTTTAAAAATTAAATAACTAAAAAATGTCACAATTATTTGAAAAATACTGACATAAATCATTTTATTTATTATCTTTATTATATATACAGTATATAGCCTATAATTATTTATGTTTAAACAATTTACAATTTACTTATTAACATTAAATCTGACATTCTTCTTTGTTACTTTCACCAGATAAAAGCCTGACGACAACATCCCTGTCTGGGGGTTTATTTTACACCCGGCTGTAAAGTAATAAACGAAGGCTGATAAGTGATATAAGACAGATCTGCCTCGCTTTTAGGAAAAAAAATCCCGTCCCTAGTGTCGCCCCATCCCACGATGCACTCCACCACATCCATCACTTCCCTCTTCTCCTTCACCAGTCCAGCTGTGAAAAGGCTGCTGGGCTGGAAACAAGGAGACGAGGAGGAAAAGTGGGCGGAAAAGGCTGTCGATTCCCTCGTAAAGAAGCTCAAGAAGAAGAAAGGGGCCATGGAGGAGCTGGAAAAGGCTCTGAGCTGTCCTGGCCAGCCCAGTAAATGCGTGACCATCCCTCGATCCCTGGACGGAAGGCTCCAGGTGTCCCATCGTAAAGGTCTGCCGCACGTCATCTACTGCAGGGTGTGGCGCTGGCCGGATCTTCAGTCGCACCACGAGCTCAAAGCGCTGGATTGCTGCGAGTTTCCTTTCGGCTCCAAGCAGAAGGACATCTGCATCAATCCATATCATTACCGCCGTGTGGAGACACCAGGTGGAAATCGATACGCGAACCACTTTTTCTTGTTTCCTTCCACATTGATTATAGCTTTATGCATTAGTAAACAAATCTCTTTTTCTTTTTCTTCCCCAAACAGTTCTACCCCCAGTGCTTGTGCCACGTCACAGTGAGTTCAACCCCCAGCACAGCTTGTTGGCGAAGTTCCGGAACGCTTCCCTACACAACGAGCCTCTCATGCCTCAAAATGCCACTTACCCAGACTCCTTCCCGGCAATGCCCTGTAGCTCGTTTTCTTCATCCCCATCCAGCTCTTTAAACCAGTCCCCCACTGCACACAGCTACCCCAGCTCTCCCAGCAGTGGAGCCGACCCTGGGAGCCCTTACCAAATCACAGGTCAGTATTACCAATGAAGCGTTGATGATTTTGGATATCAGCTCTCTTATAACTTCCTGAAATGTAGTGCCACTGAATTCTGACAACTTGTTCTCATTGCACAGCAGAGACGCCTCCTCCACCCTACAGTATGATGGAGACCCCTCCGTCTGAGGACGTGAAACCAGAAGAGTCCTCCAACCCCAATAAACTCATTCTCTCAGCCCCTCACAGAGGTGACGCTAGACTCACTGTGCAGTATGTGTGTGCTTTGACATGTGCAGTACGTTTTTTCATATTAAACTATGTTATTCCCTTTACTAAGACGTTTTGATGCATATCTGTCGTCTCAATCGCTCTGGCGCTTAACGAGCCCAGTTCATTCAATATGGGCCAAGCAGAGAAGCGACCAAACACCTCCACGTTTCCCCTATTTAAATACAGTTTTTAAATACAAAAACTGTACAAAAATTTAAATACAATACAGTTAAATACAGTTAAGTGCGATCAAAGTGTCTCGACAACAGAGGTGTGCATCAACTCGTCTTAGTTAAGGGAATTGCATTTAAAAAAAAAAAAAAAAACGGTTAATAAAGTTTTTTTTTTTCAGTTAATAAAAACTACTCATTTGTTGTTTTTTATTATCTGAAACAAATAAAAATAAGATTTGCTAAGTGAAATAATCCTAAAATAAAATATAAATATTAGATGAAAAATGTAAGCAAAAATGGGAGAAAGTCATTAAAAATTATAAAATTAAATTTAAATAATTTTATAATATAAATAATAATTAAATTTAATAAAATAAAAATTAAATTAATATATTAAAATGAAAACTCTTCTAAAAACTCTAAATAATAAAAAACTATAACAATATATAAATAATAGTAAAAATAACTGCTCATATAATAAAATTAACTTTTTAATTTCAAAGAACTTTGAATAATCGCTCTGATTCTATGAGAATAGGGAAGTCCACATCACACGAACCCGAGGAAAGATATCATTTGAAGCATTTTCAGAACAATGTTTTATTTTTTCAGCTAATGAACCATAAAAACATTGACAATCACAATCAGCCAATCAGAATCCAGAACCCTTAAACCTCAAACTAACCCAGTTATGAATGAAAGACCTAACAATTGTTTTCATTTTGAAAATAGAAATGATCAGACTAAATATACAAGATACCAAATTGGTCACACAAGACTTATGTATATATTTTTTATGTATATGTTCCTTCACTATAAAGCATTTTTAACTGGAACGTCCTGCTGTAAATGGTATTAGGCGAGAGTACATTAATGGATCTAAGATTTTTAAACATTAATCTAGTCTGGGGTTTCCATACAATGAAAGTGTTGTATCACAATGCATTTTATATTAAAATGCATCATAAATATGAAATGAGACCTACTATGAAGTATAATACATGATACTTTACATGGTTTTATGAATGCCTTTTTTTCCTCCAGACTTGAGGCCGGTGTGTTATGAGGAACCCGAATACTGGTGTTCGGTGGCGTATTACGAACTGAACAACAGGGTGGGTGAGACGTTCCACGCCGCTTCCCGAAGCATGCTCGTGGACGGCTTCACAGATCCCTCCAACAACAAGAACCGGTTCTGTCTCGGATTACTATCCAACGTCAACCGGAACTCCACCATTGAACACACTCGCAGACACATAGGCAAAGGTTTGTTTTTGTTTTTTTGCGTTCTTGTCTTTGTTGGGGGATTTTGGAACTGAAATGGTTGCTTTGAGAAGATCAAGCTGATAGTGGTCTTCCAGCAGTTGATGCAATTCCAAGAGAAAGTAATAAAAAAAAAACACTGTTTTTATTGCGCCAGACAGTGCTGGTCAGTCAACACTTCAGAAACCCAGCGAGAAAGATAAAGTCCACACTGTCCAAATGTTGGTTTTTCTCAGGGTGCTGGATGAGCGTCTCTGTGCCAGTGTTGGAAAGACATTAAGCGTTGCCATAGGTTACAGCAGTGAGAGTGAGAAGTATGCACACACACACACAGGCACAGAGTTCCATCTACTTGTGTGAGAGATCCTAGTTGGAAGAGCGCCACGGACAACGACATAATCCAGATCAGGATGCTTCAGGAGAATGGAGATTATTAAAGTTTCCGCTTGGCACGTGATAAAACATGATGAATGCTGGGTTTATGGAGAATGATTTCCGGGATTTACCAAGATCAAAGGTGGTGATATACTGTATTTGTGTGGACTTTTGAAGTAGTTCACAGTTGTGTTCTAAAAGCCACTTTAGAATTGTTGTTCAACTCTATGTATTTAGTCTCAGTTAAATGTGCGACTAGAAACATGCTTTAAAGGAGTACCGTAGTTCACTTTTAAAAAAAAAAACTTTTGCTGATAATTTACTCACCCCCGTGTCATCCAAGATGTCCATGTCTTTCTTTCTTTAGTCGAAAAGAAATTAAGGTTTTTGATGAAAACATTCCAGGATTTTCTGCATATAATGGACTTCAATGGGAACCAAACGGTTCAAGGTCCAAATGAGAGTTTCAGTGCAGCTTCAAAGGGCTTTAAACGACACCAGACGATGAATAAGGGTCTTATCAAGTGAAACGAGCGGTTATTTAAAAAATAAATAAACAAGTTTAAGTTTTATAAGCACAAATGCTTTCCTTGCAAAAGCGGTTTGTGACTCTCCTGTTTGAACTCATTCATCAAAATCTTTTTTTTTGAGCCATTAAGTCATTTCGTTCGTTGAATGAACCAAATTACTTGAAAAAAGATTTGTTCATTTTGATGAACGAGTTCGAACTGTAGAGTCGAGCAAGGCGAGCATTTGTGCTTATAAAGCTTAAACTTTTTCATTTATTTTTTAAATAACCGCTCGTTTCACTAGATAAGACCCTTATTCATCGTCTGGAATCGTTTAAAGCCCTTTGAAGCTGCACTGAAACTCTCATTTGGACCTTGAACCGTTTGGTTCCCATTGAAGTCCATTATATGGAGAAAAATCCTGGAATGTTTTCATCAAAAACCTTAATTTCTTTTCGACTAAAGAAAGAAAGACATGGACATCTTGGATGACATGGGGGTGAGTAAATTATCAGCAAATTTTTTTTAAAGTGAACTACTCCTTTAAACCCTTTTCCTTCTTCTGCTGTAGGTGTGCACTTGTATTACGTCGGAGGGGAGGTGTACGCAGAGTGTCTGAGTGACAGCAGTATTTTCGTTCAGAGTCGGAACTGTAACTACCAGCATGGCTTCCACCCCACCACCGTCTGCAAGATCCCGAGCGGATGCAGCCTCAAGATCTTCAACAACCAGCTGTTTGCCCAGCTGCTGTCGCAGTCCGTAAACCATGGCTTCGAGGTGGTGTATGAACTCACCAAGATGTGCACCATCAGGATGAGTTTTGTCAAGGTAAGAGGTTTATGTATATGGGGGTACAGTAGCCTGTACAGCCATATAAACCAAGGCATTCTCATCCTATGGCGTCATATAGGTGATGCTTTTGAAATTGCGTCTAAAACCGACACACATGGCACCCTTTAGCGTCAATATAACACGCTTCGGTAATTGGTAGGTTTAGGTCTGGGGTAGTGTTAGGGTTAGACCACTGGGAGGCACCATATCTGCATTTCATATTGATGCTAAAGGGTGCCATGTGCGTCGGATGTAGACGCAATATCAAAAGCGTCACCTACATGACGCCTTGGGATGAGACCGGGCTGTGTAAACCCTATTGGGCTGCTAATAAAGGTAATGTAAACTATTGATTCACTAGAAAGAGTCAACTCATTAGAGTCTTTGCTTTGGGAACCAGTCTACACTGGTTGTGCTGAATGCGTTTGATTCACTTTAAAGAACAGGCTCATAAAAGTCATTCGATTTGGAATACTACACTGGTTGAGCTGTATGCTTTTGATTCAATAAAAAGTATTGAATCATTAGAGTCTTTCCTTCGGGAATCTGACTACACTGGTTGAGCTGTATGCTTTTGCTTTTGATTCACTAAAACGTACAGTCTTATTAGATTTATTTGTTCAGAAATCAGTCTACACTGGTTGCGCTTTTTAATTCAGTAGTGGTGCCATGTCGATTCAGTCGGCTATTTTAGAGTTTTAGAAAGAATTTTAGTACCAAACGGTTCTACGTGCGAGAATTAGTACCCAAACATAAACTCTATTCTCTTTTCCTTCAGAAAATGCAAAAATCTGCTTGATTTAGTTTATTCTAATGTACAGTATTTTATATAAGACTGTTATCAAGCTTTTTACCTCCAACAACAAGGTTACAAAGTTGCTGTTTAGGACTTTCGTAAATACAGAGAGTTCATAAACATCAGTCACAAGCCAACAGCTCTCAAGGTCGTTAGCAGTTTCAAATAGAAAACCTGTTGCTATGCAAATGTGATATGTAGATATTCTAATCTTTGGCTTGCTGTTTTATGGATGTTGCTCTGCCAAAACACTGCGAGTTCTTCGGTTACCGACTGATACGACATGCGCTACATTCCCTGCTTGATTTGTATGTATGCGGACACATAACAAATTGTTTGTCATTATTTCTGTTCAAATACTTTATGAATGACATGCAATTGCTAGTTTTGGAAAACTAGTATGCATTTATTTTTCCAACTCCTTTTGGTGCTGCTAGTGGATCACAAATACTTATACAGGTTTCGTGCTTAAGTTGGTTTGTACAGATGCTCAAGTATAGAGTGGCGAAGTGATGACGTCACTTTGTAGGACAACTCGGAAGTTAGCGGCGCATGGGTTCCCTCGAGTGAAAAGCAATGCATTTTCCCCATAGACCCCATAGAAAATCGCAAAAAATAAGATCTGTGTTCAACAAAGAGTTGTGAGCCTTACACGTTTTGTCTACCAAGATAATCTTTACAAATTAATCCAAAATTTATACATTTTGAAGCCTATATTATAAAGTATTGAAAAACACAAGCAGACACAATAAAGTTTAAAAAAGCACAGGCAGGTTATAACTGGTTTTATGTCATACATCAAAACGTGAAAATATTTAGAGGCTTTATTCACCACAGACCTTATTTCAGGCGATTTAGCAAAAACCCATTCAAACTTTAGAGTGGGAGTGCTAAAATGCTAACTCACTTCCGCGTTTTGGCCTACAAAGTGAGTGACGTCATATCTTCGATTGAGGATCTGGTGTCTTCTCTTCTCAGGGCTGGGGAGCCGAGTACCACCGTCAGGATGTCACCAGCACCCCCTGCTGGATAGAAATCCACCTGCACGGGCCTCTGCAGTGGCTGGACAAAGTTCTGACCCAAATGGGCTCCCCGCACAATCCTATTTCCTCTGTGTCCTAATGCATTACAGGACTAGGGTAATATAGTTCCCCAAAAGACTTTAGCAGCCCAAGACACATAAAGCTCTCGCTGTCTTTCCAGTGGATGTTGATGGTACTGGTATAGTGGTGCGTGCTGTTAAAGGGGTCATGAACTGGCTTTTTAATATTTTTTTTTAGGGTTGTGCAAAAGTTAATTGCGATTAATCGCATCCAAAATAAAAGTCTGTGCTTACATAATATATTTGTATGTGCTGTATATAATTATTTTGTATATATAAATACCTGCATGCATGTATATATTTAAGAATTATTTGCGCTTAAATTCTGTATATATATATATATATATATATATATATAAATACATAATCTATATTATATAAGTATTTTATATATGAATAACACATTTTCTTAAATATATACATACATGTGTGTGTATTTATATATACAAAATAATTATATACAGCACAAACAAATATATTATGTAAACACAGACTTTTATTTTGGATGCGATTAATCGCAATTAATTTTTGCACAGCCCTAATTTTTTTTATATTGTTATAACTTATGACGTTCGCTTGGTTTTTACATTAAAAAACATCAAAATGAATAAATAATAGGCTATTTTCTAGCCCAGCTCAAAAACGCTAGTTTTTAAGGGCGTCTCGCACTGAAGACGTGAAGTAAACGCCCACTGGTGTGAGTGGATAACAGTTTTGCATATTATAATGAGTTTCACTCTTGATCCGGTTTGTCATCACGAGGTAGGCATCTATGTTATTAGCTATGCGTGTAATGCGCGAGTCGGTGGGCGGGGCTAAAACGGCCGTGTTGAAGCAGGCGTTGATCATCTTCTGCGGGGGTGGTGTTTTATCCTCTTCGTCATAGTTCCCCACTTTAAAAAACGAGTCGTTTGCAGAGGCTGGTGTCAATAAAAGCTTTTATTGGACTAACAAGGACAGGATATTCTTATAAAATGATGACCTGAAAAATGAAAATTTGATTTCTCTGTTCATCACCCCTTTAAATAAGCAGCTGTGGGGTTAGATAAGAAAAACTTTGCTATTTCACAGTATGTAGTCGCTGAGATCAATTCAGATAGAATTGCTGTATTAGGAAGCCAAAGAAGTGTGTTAGTAGGCAAGTATTGTTCTGGAAATGTTTTATTTGTGTCATATTTGTGTCTTCTATAACATTTCATGTTGTTGTTGTTTTTTTTTTTTCACTCGCGTTAGCTTTCTTAAAACCTCTCTTATATTTGTGCCTGATTATTTTACGGCCCAAACACAAATATGACATTTTAAAACAAAACACCAGAAGTCGAAAAATCCAACTACGTTGTATTAATGCAATTAAAGTTTTATCAATTTTCACGAGATCAATACAAATTTCCTTTGCTTAGTGAGCTTACCCATCTTTTAAAATAATAAAGCTGATTGAAGAATTCTGTGTGTATGCCGTGTCTTTCAGATACACTGTCAAGATGTGGCTAAAAAGGTCAAACTTCATTAATTATTACAGATTAGATTAAGATCTCTAAAAATGAATTTCTCCAGCTGCCATTTCATATTTTTTATCATTCATTTAAAAATACTAAATGATACGAATGAGGCTAGGATGGCTAGTCAAACGCATTATTGATCAAGCTGCCGATTAGTTTCATGATATCAATGAGCTCGATGATGACAGCATTATTTCAGATCGATCGGGTCCTTGTCAAACATCCCAGTTTTCAGAATGCAGTGTTGATAGTCTTCACACATTGAATATTGCCCATTTAAAATTTCGGTGACATTGTGAGCGCTTTAAATCCTCAACATGATGAGTAAAGCATGTGCAGACGTTCAGAAGTTGTGCTGTGTTTGATCCCGATTGTGTGTGGTCAGTAAACGCTGCTGCTGCTGAAGGAAGCTGATGACTTCTGGACTCCTCAGAAGAGACTGAAACCCCAAAACAACATTACATCAGCTAATTCTAAAGAATATTCAGGTAAGATAAATATTAATGACATATATGCAGAATAATTGATATACAAAGTAGAGCTGTGCAAAGATTAATTGCGGTTAATTGCATTTGTGTTTACATAATATATGTGTGTGATGTGTATAATTATACACACACATGCATGTATATATTTAAGAAAATGTGTTATTCATATATAAAATATTTATAGGTTATGTATTTAAATATATACAGTATTTCCGTGCAAATAATTCTTAAATATATACATGCATGCATAAGCATTTATATATACAAACTAGTTATACACAATACACACACATATATTATGTAAACACAAACTTTTATTTTGGATGTGATTAATCGCAATTCATCTTTGCACAGCCCAAATACAAAGCAATCAATTAAAAGTAAAAAAAAATGGAAGCTAGGAGGAAAACATCAAATGAAACTTCATATATATATATATGAAGTTTCATTTGATGTTTTCCTCCTAGCTTCCTTTTTTTTTTACTTTTAATTGATTGCTTTGTATTCAAAGGGGTGGGATGTAAAACTGGGATGTATAATATGTGGATGATAACTGGGATGTATAATATGTGGATGATATAAATTGATTAATATTAAGAAAAAGAAACTTAAAGGAGCAATGTGTGACTTTTAGCGACATCTAGTGGTTCGGTTGCGAGTTTGCACCAGGTTTGCACTAAGGGCGAGATGGTCCTCACTGCGGAACATGAAATCCATGGGGAGGAGTCGGATCCAGATCCAACTCCTCCCACCTTCCATACACCTAAACCTAACCAACTCCGCCCCCTGATCCCTAAACCCACCCCTAATCCCTAAACCCAACCCTAATCCTAACCATCTCCACCCCTTGGATCGTGATCCGACTCCTCCCCGTGGATCTCATGTTCTGCATTGAGGTGCTACTGCTAAGGGCTCAGCCCACTGCTCACCCCTCCCTTTCGAAGAAGCTACGGTTGCTAAAACGGGACAAACATCTCGTCGGCTGAGACAGCAGAGAATAGCCAGAGTAAGCCAAGAGTGTGTAACATTGTCACTGTTTCTGTACCACAGTCCATTATAAACCACATCATGAATACTGTCTGTTTACAAAGCCATAGTCAGGTGAGGATCAAGGGTTTTAATATATAATTTAATAAAATAATAATCAGCTGATTGTCTCACAAACGTAACCAGCAGCACATTTCTCCCCACATACTGTAGCAAACCCATAATACAGCGAGGGAGCAGCTATATATTTTTTCTAACAGGGTATAATAGTTTAGCTGGCTAATATGAGCTGTTACTGTGGCTGAGCTGGGACGCGTCTGCATGAGTCCAAAGGTCGGAACTGCGCGCGCTGTTACAATCATGTCATCTCCGCATCCCATAGATACTATTTACTACACACAATAGGCTTTTTTTCTCTGATTTTTAAAATTCTTCGCGATCGACTTTAGTGATAAAAGACTTTAGTAAAAGTCTCTATCGACGGGTTAGTGATTCCTGTAACGTACTGTTTTACGGTCAATGACATGAATACTAATCATCAGCTGTCTCACGAACGTAACAGCACATCTATCCCCAACATAACAAACCCATAACACAGCGAGGGAGAACTAAGTTACATGAAACAATCCCAACTACATATTTTACACCACTCACAAGGGAAAAGTCACTACTCACGGAGTGTAAGGCTAGCTTCCAGCTTTCCGCTACTTCTCTTTCAAGGTAGTGATGAAACGCGTTCTGTAGCGCTGTTTGTTCGCGTTCGGCTACGGTAGGAATATGACGTCACAACATGGCGACCTTCATAGAAGGGGATTCCCTCGGTTATGGAGCTATTAATGTCTCATTCTAAGGTAATAAAAACATTACGGCTAATTAAGTAAGTTCTTTATACACCACTGAAAACATAGTTATGGATGTCATATTGCATTTCTGTTAATAGATACTCAACTTTGTTACACATTGCACCTTTAATTCAAATGCCATTTTCCATTTTTTTTTTTACGTGGCCACATGAATTATGCATGAGCTACTCTAATACCCACACACCTCTGCACCCACTGCATTAGGTTAGCAGGGTCTAGCTCAATAAAGTGTTTTAATGCACTCACCAGTCTCTTCTGGTTCAGCACCTGCTCGATGAGAGAGGGTCTGGCTGGCCTGTCTCCGATGGTACCCAGCCGTTGCTTAGTAACGGACACAGGCCTCTCCTCCGTGCCCTCCTACACATCACGAAACACAAAACTGTTTGAAATGAAGCTTATAAAGTTGGGACCTAAACTGAGACTGTCGTGTGTCCAAACGTTTCTTACGTCTAGTTTCCCAGTCGACATGGCCTGGTCGCTTTTCTTCTTCTTATATTTGTCCTTGTACATTTTATTCCGGTGTTTTTTGCACATCCAGGGCTTCCTGGCTTTGGCCACCTGAGTCGTGGTCTCCGTGCAGCCGTCATAGATGCAGGTTTTGGACACGTTCTCGCTCTCTCCGGACGTCTCGTCGTCGTTGAGCTCGTCGTCTCTCGCCTCCGGTACGTCGCTCTCGTCGCCCGGGTCTTCCGCGTCGTACGGGAAGTTCTCCTGGTCGGACGGGGTGGTGGTGCTGCTCTCCGCGGGTGCGGGGGTTTGGCTGTCTTTGCCCGTTTTTGCTAAACTAATATGAACGCTGTCGTTCATGTTGTCTTTATTAGAGTCTCACCTGTCATTCAACCATACGGACCAGACTTGACACAGAATCCCTTAGTTTAAAACGGATTGTAGCCTATCTGTCTGTCAGTAAAATCCCGCATTGTGAATTGCAGTAACTCAATAAATAGAATCTACCGGCATAAAAACGGAGGAAATGAATATGAGCTTGAAAGGAGGTCACAACAAAAACAAAACAGTCATGGCCGCTGCAGAAAGAGGCTCGCCTGTGTGTGTGTGTGTGTGTGTGTGTGATGTTTCGCCCTCTACCGGCACCAAACTGCGTTGCAGTGGCTCTAAAATACATTTTCATATGTAAGAGACATTTAAATATATGAATGTAATTGCATTAGATAACAAAATATCAAACTAAATTGCAGAAAAAAACCCTGCAAAAAGCCGCAATTCTGACGTATCGTGTGTGTTTGTGGCACGACAATCTGTCCCCAACAAATATCTAGTTGATGTTGTTCATCATGCTAAAGAAACCACCAAGGAACCATCTAACCACTGCTGAGATCTCTAAACAGCTCCAGTTTCTGTCCAACAGCTGTCAGACAGCTTAGTAAACATAACCAAATCACTCCTCAAGACCATGATTTCTCCTTATTTATCCGTGTTGGATCTCAGTTTGGGTGTTATATTGAATTGCAGATTACATTTTTTTTATATTGTATGCATCGTCCATTTGAAATAGTGTCTATTAGTTCAAATGGTTTAATTGTGTGTTTACACGAAAGCCCCTTTCCGCCACATACCGAGAAAAAGCAAATAAAATGACATGAAAACTTGATTTCTTTATCATAATTGACTTTTTAATGTAACAATTAGACTTTGTCTCAATTCTGACTGTCAGTTTTGACATTAGCTCATAATTACAACATAATTTGACTTTATATCAAATTATGACAGTATCTTATCACTTTTACTTTTATGTGATAATTATGAATTTACCAAAGCATTATTTTTTTCCTTCTCAAGGTTCAAGGTATTTTATTGTCAATGTGCACATGCTGAGAACGAAGCACTGTAATAAAAAATTATAATATACATAAGTTTAAAACAGTTTAACTAAGTAAACTAAAAATACCTGAAAAGTAAACCCTTAAATAACTAAGTTTTTAAAAGCTGTGCATCAAATTCACATATAAACCAGAGCATCATTATGTCAAGGCACAATGAATAAAAGGTATAAATGATAAGGAGAGATTAGTCGAAGGGAGGGATTTCATGAGTCTCACAAAATGCAAATAGTATGACATGTGGTTTCATAGTTTTGTTCTAAAACAAAAAAAGCCAATATAATAAATATTTTGATTTAAAAAAATTAAGACAAAGTATTTGGACATTTTCATATTCAACTTCAGTGAAACTGGCTTCATGAAAATCACTAAGAGCTTAAGTTGGTTAAAAGTGCATGCAAAAGTGAAGATCTACAGTATTTTAGCTATGTTTTATTAATTTATAATGAAACTTATTTGTAAGAGGGCCTGAAGTTTCCACTAAAATAAAAACGGACAGCATCAATTTTATTATGCTGATATAACATTTTGCATTTTTACTAATGATTTTTCTGTTCTGTAACTTTTTTGCATGGTGAATGAATGCATATTATATGAGCAAATCAGATTTTATTCAAGCCTTCCAAGAGATGACATGTTGTATTATATTATAAATGATCCATGTATTTGTAAGTGTAATCATATTGTCAAATATAGACAGACAGCTTTTCTATTTACAGTTCATTATGTACGTTAACATTTTTCCAAAATACAAGTCCTCTATCTGGAGGGTCTTCTCAATTGTTACACAGTTGACAGAATTATTGAATGTAAAACCTCAGCTTAATAATGACATTGATAATAAGGATAAATATTTAATTATACATCAAAATGACCTCTAAAATATCTCTAAATTTCTTGTTTATCAGTACATTCAGACGTGTGTGTGATCCTGTCAGGACAGCGAGGACACCGTCGATCTCTGTGAGGAAACACTGCAGATCTCCATGTTCGTGAACGAGCTCCCGGCCTCACTGCTGCATTCTGGGTAAGAAGAACTAGAGGATATGATGTTTTTCAGCCTGTGGAGAGCAATGATCAACAGGGTAAGCAGGAAAAGCAGCAAGCTGAGGAAGATGGAGACATAGACATAAACACTGGCAGTTCGTCCATATGAAGCAGCGGCCGCCGCGGTAGAAACAGATGTAGGGCTGAACCTCAGGAAACTCTCGCTGTTTACTCCCGTACCGTTCATCTCCTCCACCGACCCATCCATCCCAGACATATCTGATGGATTTGGGAATCTGTTGGGAAGATAGGATAGATCAATCATTTAAGCCTTATTATTATTGCTGACTTAATTTGCTATTTTGTAATTGAAATGATTAGGCCTGTTATTATTTATATTCATATATAATACTGAAAGTATTACTGGACACATTAATTTGTTTTAATCATTATATTATGTTACAATATTAAAATGTTAATTTTATTTTTCATTTTAATTTTAAATCATATTTATAATTACATAATTTGTTAGACTATATTAAATAAAATACTATTAATTTTATACATGTGTATTAGGATTGTGTGATCTTAGACATTATTTGAAAGTATTTTAGGACATTTTAAATTTCCTTTCACACGCATTGATAGGTCAAGCTTTAATATGTTTATTGCATTTATGAAATATTTAATAAATTATAAATGTGAATGAACAACCATTTATTAAATATTGCATTTTTTATTATATATTATATATATTATAATTAAACAAAATATTCTAATATAATATCAAAATTATTTTACTATATAATGTGCTGTCAAATCGCTTAATTGCGATTAATCACATCTAACATAGCTTGTGTGTGTGCAAATACACACATTATATATTTTATGTATTACAGACATTTTATTAAAAAATTTATTTAACGCCACTAATAATGATATAATTTTAATAAATACTTTGTTTTTTTGAGAATACCTTACAGCCGTCAAACTATTTTTTAAAGTGCAACAATCTGTTGTCTTACACTTGCTTTTATTCATCTAACAGGCCAGTCATATTTAATGAGTTGAGCCACCAGAGTTCACTGACTATTTCCTTTTCTGACCTCTGTCTCTAATAAATGTTGAATTTTTACTGTTCAAAAAAAACAACAACAACCAGAACACTTAAATACTTCAGATCGAATTTGAAGAGGATGATAATCACATTTAATTATGCTTTTTGTATCCAGGCAACCTGCATATCAGTGGGCTCATGAGCTGGTGCAGCTTGTTGTCAGGCCATCGCCGGTCCATTAGGACTTTGGGGTTGGTCACACCGGCTCAGTGGTGCACACACAGAAGGTCAGTCTGTTGTTTACACTGCCTTCATACTCACACCTCATGAATAATTGATTGAGAGGTGCCTGAGCAGGAAAATGTCACAGAGTTTCCGAATTTAAAGAGAACAACATGCCAAATCATTTGTTTGACAGGCTGTCGGTATCAACAGTGCTGTTTTACAAAGCTGCTTTATTTGTGGTCTACATTCGAAATCTGATCTATATTTGGAAGCTTACCAACAAACATTCAGCATTGAGCATAAAAGTCTTTCATATTTACAAGCTCATATGACAGACAGCGTTACATGATTTACATTTAGTTCTTCCCCTGAGACGAGCTCAATTTGGTGGAGGTCACCTCAGCTGTGTGAGAATCCTTTCCATATCAATTCATAAGAGAGCATGTGTGCATTAGTGTGTAGATGAGCTGTCACCATCTAAAATCAAGACTTTTTATGTGTTCTTTTACATTCATAGTTCTTAATCATTGGATGATTCAAGAATATGATTCAAGTTTCATTAAAAAAAGCTGAACAAAAAGTTGAGAAAAAGGAAAGCCAGGAAATTCGATCAATGGCTGGGAAGCGTAGTCGCTTAAATAACAGAAAGTTCCATGACAGGAAAGAGTTCAAATTGATGATAAAACTAGATTTGTTTCATTCCTCCTGACCACCAGAGATGGTGCTATATTAGTGGATATCACAGCGCCAGCCGGAAAGGTTCAAAAACATATACCACACACTGTAAAAAATAAAAACGTGTTTTTTACGGTAAATGACTTCAGTTTCAGGAACAAGAGTTACCAGAGTTCAGTGTTCTACCATTTAGACCCTACCAACAGAGCAGGGGTAGGCAAGTTTGTTACAAGTGAGCCGCTGTCCTTCAGAATTTAGTTCCAACCCTAATCAAACACACCTAAACAAGCTAATCAATGTCTTCAGGATTACCAGCACTCTTAGAAGAAAAGGTTCTATATAGAACCTTAAAAGGTTCTATCAGCGCTACGTATTTGGAACCCCTAAAAGGTTCTATACACTCTTAAAAAAAGGCTCCCTCTGGGTTCTATATAGAACCCTGGGGTTCCATACTTAGCCAATAGAACCTTTTACCAAAAAAAAATGGTTCTATATAGAACCATTTTGGAGTTCCATATATGAAGCGGTGGATGGAACCATTTCTGGTTCTAAATAGAACCATTTCTTCTAAGGCCGTGTGTCCACCAAAGCGTTTTTCCACGCGCCTGGCGTATGTTTTCAATTGTTTTCAATGGGAGCGCCGCGTTTATTAAACGTCATGAGCGTACCGAGGCGCTGAGCGTTTTTTTTTTCACGCTGAAGCGGCGAACGCCCAGCGTTTTTACTGGTCGCTGGGAGTTGAAAAATGTTCAACTTTGGATAAAACGCAGCGCTCATCACTGTCACTTTTTACCCAGCCGTCCAATCACAGTGGAGGAGGGGCGGGACTAATACCACACCGACCAACTGTCACAACATTCAAACTGCTGCGGATATTCTGTATCATAGCAACGAAACGTCTCAACGGAAAAGACGCTGCGCTGCCAAAACGCTCTCAAGCGCCCAAAGCACGGCGTCTTCAGCAGAGCGTCTAGCGCTTTCAGCTGGCTAAAAATGCTTTGGTGGACACAAGGCCTAAGAGTGAAGGCCATAGGCAGGAGAGGTTTTGGAGCCAAACTCTGCAGGATGGCGGCTCTCAGGACCAAACTTGCCTACCCCTGCTATAGAGTGGAAATCAGTGGAAAATGGTCAAGGGACCCGTCCATGGATCATATCAACCTTTGGGAGATTTATGATATTTCCTTCTGGGTCTGCTACGTGCTTTACATTCGGACAACATGTCAACAGTTTTCAATCTGAATCACCAAGGGGGAATAAAGTCAGAGAGCTTGTTGTTGCGGCTCACTCACAATATCCTCATCTGGTCACTTCCACTGTTTGCATCACGAATCTGCCAGAGGTAGTCAATCAGGCTGCAGATGCTCTGTCCAGGAACTGGATAGATCAGGGTGAAGGAGGCTCCACCTGAATGTATTTCAGGACATTTGGCAGGAGTTCAGATCTGTTTGCTTTAGAAAACACAACTCATTGCCTGTTGTGGTTTGCCCAGATGGAAGCGTCCAGTCCATTGGGTTAGGAAGCACTGTCACACAATTGGCCAGATTGTCTTCTGTATGCTTTTCCTCCGATTCCTCTGTTATGGGAGACGCTTCACAGGGCTATCTAAGCAGAGGCTGTCATGATGGGTTGTTGAGGTTATTGTTTTGACCTATAATAAGGTCATTAATTCCATTCTCACTTCCTGTTATATAATATATAAATTTGCATAATGCCAGCATCTGGTCTTCATTAGCTGCCATTGAACAACATCTGAGGTGAGGTTAAAAGGGACCACAATGGAAATATAAGGGACTTATTGTGTTATCCCTGACTATTTATTTATTTTTTAATGTATGTCACAGTTTCATACTGTTTCATACTTTTATATTTAAGTGGTCAAATAAAATAAAACCAATCTACTATGATTCGCCCTAAACACTGTAGTTGTCTCTTAGACTGGAAGAGTTTGGTGTAAGACGCTGCAACGCTTTGCATGCACTTCCAAAGGATGAGGGCTTGCTGGAATTGATATTGAAACACAAATGCCATCGTTCATAACACTGTGTATCGAGCTCTGAGGAAGCCTCTGAAGCTGAATTTCAGATTTTTCCGTTTACCAATCACAACAGACTGTGCCATCTGACCAGTCGGAAAGGGTGGGATTAGAGAGACAGAATCTTCCAACAAACCGTTTTCAGACTCTTTGAGAAATGAGGTGATGTGCGTTGTATGTTATGAGCAAATTAAAGTGATCTTGGATGCATATTGTAGGGGACCAATTAGAAACCTTTAAAATAGCCGTCCAAAATGCATTTGACCAAATTAAACATTATTGTAAAGTGTTGCCATGTTAATTTTAAGAGTTGCAATTTTGCAAATCACTCTTAACAGAATTTGTTTTTGAGAATCCTAAAAATTGGACACATATGCTGGACAAGACAAGTGAAGTATTTTTAGGTTTAACACTAAAACTTGCTATTTGTTTGCATTTTTCAGTCATTGTGTGGGACGACAGTCGTCTGGGCCACAGCAAGCCCTAAGAGCCTGTGGTCAGGAGTCTCATAAAGAGTCATGATTTATGACCACTTCCTTTTTTCTGAGTTGTGAGATTAATTCGTCTGCAAAAGCAAACCCAACAAAGGGGACTCACACTTATTTTCCTGGACGTCGTTTACTCAGTCAACTTTAACATTCCCCCTTACCCGCTTTTCAATTTATGAGTGAGATGCGAATCCCTGCGGCAATATAAATCATTCAATTCCTCTTGTGCTTTGCATGCAATTTCAGGAGAAGTTCAGTGGGTCAATTCAGTGTGTGGCTCTAATCTCTGTTTATTTGATTTCTGTTGAGGGAAGGAGAATCTGGCTATTAGGGAAATAACTCAAAACAGAGGATGTCAATGAACGAGGGGAGCGGGGGATGGCAAAACACAGAGGGATTCAGAAAAAGACATTTGCACTGACTGGAATGGCTGATGACTATCCATTGTTAAATCACTTACTATACAATTACATAAGATCATTTCAATTAAGGATGATGGACTATTATGAGTTTTTTGACATTCAAATTAAAAACAACTTTTTTTTTCTAAGTGATGAACATTGATAAGGAGAAATTCTGACCTTTCTGATGAAAAAAAGAGTCGTCGGCACTAAATCACAGAGCTGCCCGTCACGCTCATCTCGTGGTCCAGGAGTGAATTCCTTATGGGATTCCTTAAGCTAGCGTATAGCACACGCTGAAATAGATGCCACTCGTCGTGAGAGAGAGAGAGAGCAGGGTGTCTGAACGCGCTCGGTCTGGTGGGCTGGATATCGACTGTCCAGCTGTTGTACTCTGAATCCTCCTCCCTCTCCGTTTCACTCCTATCATCTCTCTCCCTTTCTTGCCCCCCTCTCATCTCATTGACGTCTTCTCGGTTTCTTTAGCAGCTGATTTATGTTTCAAATAAAGACGATAAAGATGTCTCGCTTAACTCATAAAAGATGGTACGATCGTTCTCGCTTTAATTGCTGTAATTGGGATTTGATTATCTCAGTGATATTACTCAGCTCAGCAGCTTAGACTAGATGACAGGCTTCTGTCTTGTCTTCTCCCATGGTGCCGTGCTCAGTCATTCATATCTGACAGAGCTAATCACCGCTCTCATCAGCACCATGAGCCGAGAGGCCTCTCTAGACGTCTTTGTGGCGTTACTCTCAGATGAACACTCAACGAGACCTTTAGCCATGCAGGCGACATCACGCTCAGATATTGTATGAAAGGGCTGTTCGGCTTTGTGAATTAAGCATGAGGGTTTTGGTTGAATTTATAAATGATTTAGTCAAAAACAAAGGTTCTAAAAATGGCTTTTAATACTACAGAAGAATGTAACATGTAAGCACACTGCATGCAAAATAAAGTGCTACACTTTCAGATAAAAGGTACAAAAACTGTCACTGGGGCTGTACCTTTTCAAAAGGTAAACTTTTGTCCATTTTAGGTGCTAATTTGTACATTTTAGGTGCTAATATGTATATTTTAGGTACTGACATGTACATTTTAGGTCCTAATATGTACAATTATGTGCTAATATGTACATTTCAGGTGTTAATATGTACATTTAAGGTGCTAATATGTATAGGTGTTAATTTGTATATTTTAGGGTGCTGATATGTACATTTCTGGTGTTAATATGTACATTTTACATGCTAATTTGTACCTTTTAGGTGCTAATTTGTACCTTTTAGGTGCTAATTAGTACATTTTAGGTGCAAATATTTACATTTTAGGTGCTAATATGTACCATTGAGGTACCAATATGCACCCTTTAAGTTCAAAAGTATACCTTTTGAAAAGGTACAGCCAGCTTTTGTACCCTTTTTAGGTCTTAATATGTAAATTTCAGGTGTTAATATGTACATTTCAGGTGTTAATATGTACATTTTAGGTGCTGATATGTACATTTAGGTGCTAAAATGTACATTTCTGGTGTTAATATGTACCTTTTAGGTGCTAATGTGTACCTTTTAGGTGCAAATATTTACATTTTAGGTCCTAATATGTACCATTACGGTACCAATATGCACCCTTTAGGTTCAAAAGTGTACCTTTTGAAAAGGTACAGCCATCTTTTGTACCCTTTTTAGGTCATAATATGTACATTTCAGGTGTTAATATGTACATTTCTGGTGTTAATATGTACATTTTAGGTGCTAATTTGTATATTTTAGCGTGCTGATATGTACATTTAGGTGCTAATATGTACGTTCCTGGTGTTAATATGTACATTTTAGGAGCTAATTTGTACCTTTTAGGTGCAAATATTTACATTTTAGGTCCTAATATGTATATTTTAGGTGCTAATATGTACCATTGAGGTACCAATATCCACCCTTTAGGTTCAAAAAGGTACAGCCAGCTTTTATACCCCTTTTTTTTTTAAAGGTACAGCCCCAGTGACAGCTTTTGTACCTTTTTTCTGAGAGTACCATTATAAAGTGTTACACATTTCAAAATCTAAAGAATTTGTTTGTGTATCTCCTCAGTAACTGAATTTGTCCCGTGTCGGTATGTCTGTCTACAGAGCGTGTGGCGCAGGCTGGCATATGGATGGAGCTTTGGATGCAAGCAGTGGGGCAGAGCTATGCATGTCAATAGGACAGAGGCGTCATGCCTCCTGGGAAGGTCTTATCTCTTCTGCTCTGTGCACTAAAGACACGCAACACAGATTATGGATCCGCGCAAAGCGAAGCATGACTCTGGCGCAGCTCGCTTTTGCTATTGTCTTGTGAGTCATGAATGGGAATTCTGTTTCGGTAATAACAAAAGCTTGTGTTCTTAAGGCTCAATATTCTGTCATCATTTACTCACTCTCATGTTATTCCAAACCTGTCGTTCAACTGTTTTTGCCAAGTCAATCTTTATTTGTATAGTGCTATATTGTTTCAAAGCAGCTTGATGAACAGGAAAATAATGATCAGATCATAAAAATAAGACAATTTCAAATTCTGCTTTAAAGCAGCTCAAAATAGACAATAGTGTCATTATTTAACTCAATTCAGTTGATTGAGATAAAGGCAGGGTACGTTTGAGAGTGAAAGCCATACGAGGTTTGGAACAACATGAGGGTGAGTAAATGATGCCAGAATGTTAATTTTGGGCTTTTTAAAGGCTCGCCTCATGAAATGTGCATGGACGAGAGTTAGAGGGTAACGCCTCTATATTGGCGCCATTCCACTGCAGTTCAGATGCCCACTGGGATTGTGGGTACCCTTCCTGAGTCCTGCTGTGTCTGTCCTGTCTCTCGGGTCTTTATAATTGCTCCCGCTAATGCCAGCGCTGAGGCACATGAGTGAATGCTGTTGGCTTTTGATAAGAGCAGTGCCTTGGCTGATTTTTCCTCTAATCCATAAAACTGTAAAAATCAGAGAGGATTTGTTATTCCCCTGACACAAGCTTTGGTTCATCTGTTCCCATTGCACGCAAGTGTAGTTCGAATGTTAGCTCACGGCATTTGACGACAGGGTCAGCTAAAGGGTTTTTGATTAGACTATGTGCAAACTTCAGGAGGAAAGGGTCGAATTGATAATGAATCATCCTCTCACTCTCGGTCTGCTCTACTGGTTTTGACAAGAATGGCATGTTTGAAGAACCTTTGTGGGAGACAATGGCAACGTGTCAATCAGGATTATCCTGTGGAAAACTCTAGGCACATATATGGAAGGTTTACACAGTGGAGCATGTCAGAGGAACACTGTGGAGATGGCGCTCCGTCTTTATTTCCCGTTTTCTCCCAACTGAGATGATGCTCTTTGCATAGTAATCCAAGTCTCAGAGGTTTCTGTGTTGCTCAGACAGGAAAACATCCACCCTGTCATACCAGCACATACACGCTGGTCATTGACAGATATGGATAAAAACTAACTAAAAAAAGTAGTTCCAATTTAATTGAATTAAAAACTTAATTTAAGTGACTTAAATGGGTCTTTTTTTATAGAATTTGTAGAGTTATAAAATGAGAATAGTATAATTTTCTAAGATTTTGAAACAAAAAGACTAAAAAATAGCAGAACAATTAAATGTTCCTATTTAATTGTATTTATTTTAAACACAAATACTGTATGTTCAGGAATTTTCATTTATGGGTATATACAGTAGTGGCCTAAAGTTTGTTTTCAAGATTTAAAGCATCAAAATTTGTCATGTTTTTAATTTTTGATATTAATATTTTTAATATGATTATCAATATTTTAAATGTGAAGGAAGAATAAAACACTATGGTTTAGGTATTTATCTGACAAAAATATTTGGCAAAAAAGGCAAATTACAGCTACAGGTTTTATATGATTTTTTTTTTTTTTATAATAATATTTTGTTGGTTCTCTCTTGTTTTTGCACGTGTTCATAATTTCTTCGGATGACAGCCTGGCCAAAACTTATTTCCGCACAATTCGGCTTATCACAAATTAAACAGTTGACTCCAAGCACAAATAATATTGCTAAATCTTTAACAAATGTTTAATTTTTGTAATAAAGGATGAAGGCCGGACATCACTTTTGGCCACTACTGTGGATAAAAAATAAAAAAATAGCTAAATCGTTAAAATAGTTAAATCAGATTTAAGTTAATAACTAAATTAACATGAATTAAAAGGGCCTTATAATTATAAGCAATACTTTTAATAATAATCTTTTTTTTTTTAATTACACCCTTCCAAAGTTAGGTTAGGAATACAGTCTAATAAACACAACAAGTGCAGTTTACAAATATTAAATTAGCTGAATAGTAATATTCAGAGAGACAAAAAAATATATATATATTTTATGAGGTTTTTAAAAGAACGAAGGGAGGATGCTTGACAGATGTCTTCAGGAAAAACATGGGAGCCACAACAGTAAAAGACCTGAAAATAGTCATTTCGATCTATATATATATAAAAAAAAAACGCGTATTTAATCACTTATATGTTTCTTTACACATTTGTGTAGACAACTTTAACCAAAGCAACTAAACTACAAGAATATGTTAATCTCTTGCAGAGTTATGACACAGGAAAATTTGGTCTTAGCTGTGAACTGGCATCAACATTCACAGCATATATACGAGAACTGGAAATTTATCGCTATCAGCTGTCGGTGGGCTGTCAGATGCAATACATCAAGATAATAGAATGGCAGGGATCCAATTCAATCTGCCTTACAGCATGCAGAACACTTCTGAAATTTACAGTCAAACTTCAGATAGAAGTTAGGGTGATTCTTTTCACAAACGCTGATTTTAGGCTAACACCCATTACATACGTCAGTACCGTGAGTGTTCATGGGCTACTGCATTCTCTGAATAGTTTAGTGTTGATGTCATGTTGATATCCTCCTGAACTATAACCGGTTTATTGCTTGTTTATACATCGCCTGATGTAAATCTCAGCCTCTCTTGCTCTGTAACACAGTTGGGTGTCAGCACTCTGTTATTGTTGTAATTTCTCTCTCTGCAAGACAAAGACAAACCAACAGTGCCAGGGATGGAAAGGAAGAATTCATCAGTTCCAGACAGAGTCTGTTTCTAAGAATAAACTCAACAATTGACAGCCATGTCGAGAGAGCCATGTTCATCTTATTCTCTGTGTCACAAATGACTGTAGACATTTAACCTGTAACTACTTGTATATATTGTCACTTGAAATGTAGAGTAAGCGGTTCTCCTTGGAGATAAAGCTTTCCATTTGCAATAAATTCTCTGCTTGTGTTTGTTCTCAGAACAGCTCCGGTGGGTTTTGAATGCCTCTTGTGCTCTCGTAGTGAGATATTTGAGCTTGAAATATTGAATTGAGCCCTGCTGTATTTTATTATAAAGAGTTCTGTAATTGGATTTCTAGGCCTTTGTAATTTGTGGCACATGCAGAGACTCGCATTTCTCAAATGGTTCGTGGTCAAGGCCCATGCAGTGAATTGTTCAGTCTTACATCACATATTCAGAGCGATCTTCGCAGGAGCCAGACTTAAACGAGATCCCACGCTGGTGTAAACATCCCCAATAGCGAGAAATGTGAAGCACATCTACAGCATTACTCAGCTTTGAATCTGGGTTGTTAATATCAAGCAGGGACAGCTGTGTCCCGCAGTGAGAAATGCTGCTATTTCTAATACACACACATACACATAGCCTATCACACATATAAACTTTCATGATAAATGCGATTAATCAAAAACAAAACAAAACAAAAATGTAATAAAATCGAGTTAGGCCCTAATTTTATGTATTTATAGAATAAAATAGAGCAGGACACTAAATGACCACAACATAGAGTTATCAAACATCTGTTTTTATGTAATGGAAATGCTCATAGCTAGTGAAAATGTGATTTCATCTTAAATGTCATTGTGGCAATAGTTCAAACCTGTATATACATTCTGTACGTCGACATTTTGTGTGTGTTATTTGTCAACTACGCATCATCAATACTGTCACTGAACAGCCAAGAAACGCGTTTCCATGGTTACGCTGCCATGTGACGAATCCTCAAAATGATGCGAGTTTAATTAGCTTTTATTTGCTACACCTGGGGAAAGCAGCGGATCTAAATTAAGTCAAATGTTTAAGTAGCCGCATGTCGATTGGTCATGTATATCGACATGTACGTATAAAGGGGTTAGAGATACCGTCCCAATCAAAATACTGTGATCCGTTTACTGGTCCATTAAGAGTTTGACGCAGTGAAAAGGTTGGTTTCGACCGGTTTGGTTTTTAATGTCTTTGATTCAAGTAGTTGTTTATAATTTGAAGTGTTGAACGGACTCTTCTTTTCAGAAGGGACAAAAATGGCTTCTCGTAGCTTCGGTCCTCTTTCTAGTCGTCAGGAGAACACGATAGGCCTGGGAAAAGCGGATGGCCTGCGCGTTCACAAACCCGGCCAAAGGCTTGTACTCGGTGTTTTGACAGAGAATGATCAGCATAATCGAGTATTTGGCCAGGTTAGTGTCAAGGGTTTACGTTTCTTACTCCAAAAGTACAAGAAAGTGACGTTGTTTTCGCTTTTTTTCTTAAAGATTTCATCCAAATATGAGTCGGATTTTCATGCTGGATCTGCTCGTGATGTCACCACAAACAGTGCTGCACTAGGTGGCGATGACGTGCTTGAGCCAGTCGTGCAGTCAGATGGACAATCCTCCTCGTTCTTGATGCCTTCAGAGCTTCTCCTTGTAGATGATGTTGTCCAAGATCTTGGCTCAGGTATGCTGCCAGACAGTCTATACTAAACTTATTTTTTTTTATTATTTTACATGGTCACTTTAAAGCAGTGCTGTCTTTTCAGTCACAGCTGTAACAGTATCATCCAATATTTATAACTGAACCCAAGAGATGTTTCCGAGGCAGATCCTTATGGATATGGCTTAATTGTACTTCCTAACTATTTAGGGCATTGCGTGGATGCTTCTATGTGTTCATTGTTGGAGGAGGATGCTTCCTCTGAGGACGTCTTGTATGTTCCTGAATATGCGGAGGACATCCACAGATACCTGCGTGAATGCGAAGTTGGTGTATTTACTTTTATCCATGGCCGGTTGCATAAACCATTCAGATTAGCCTTAAAAGTTAGTCTAAGTTTCTTCAAGACTGGTTTGAACTTTAAAGATGGCTGCATAAGATGGCAGATTGGTCATTTCAATTGGAAAAGCTTGATTACCCATTAACTGCAAGTTGGTCAAACTAGTTCTTAAGACAGTTTTAAACATGGTGGTTGAGTTTATGCAACTATCTAATGCACTTCGCTTCTCAGGTTAAATACAGGCCGAAGCCCAGCTACATGAGAAGGCAGCCTGACATAACTAATTGTATGAGAGTCATCCTTGTTGATTGGCTGGTTGAAGTTGGCGAGGAATACAAGCTGTGCTCGGAGACTCTCTACTTGGCTGTGAATTACCTGGACCGCTTCCTTTCGTGCATGTCTGTCCTGAGGGGGAAATTGCAGCTTGTGGGAACGGCTGCTGTACTCCTGGCTGCGTAAGTGATGAGCTATTATCTTTAAGTGTTACCTAGTGACATAACCACACGGCATGTTTCTGATTAGGAAATACGAGGAGGTGTATCCTCCCGACGTGGATGAGTTTGTGTACATCACGGATGATACCTACACAAAGGAACAGCTGCTTCGGATGGAGCAGCACTTGCTCCGAGTGCTTGCTTTTGACATGACTGTTCCCACAGTGCACCAGTTTTTGATGCAGTACACTTTAGAGGAGCATATCTGTGCCCGGACTGTCAACCTTGCTTTGGTGAGAGGGTTGTATTTTTGTAAGGGTTTTTTTTTTCTTCCTAAATTGGATATTGATTTTCTCTTCTCCCTGCTCCCATAGTATCTTTCAGAATTGAGCCTGCTTGAAGTGGATCCCTTTGTGCAGTATCTACCGTCTAAGACCGCTGCAGCGGCATATTGTCTGGCCAACTACACTCTTAATGGGGCTCTGTGGGTGAGTCTAGCCTTTTTAATGGTTACCCTGTTTTATTCAGACCAAACAATTAAAAGTCTTCATACTTAAACCACTATCGGTCAGTTGGCTTTTTTTTTATTAAACCCCAAATGCTTTATCAAAGTGTGCAATGTCTATAATAATAAAATGTCTTGTTTCTCACAGCCTGATAACCTGTATGCCTTCACTGGTTACTCGCTGGGAGCGATCAGCCCATGTCTGAAGGAGCTTCATAAGCTCCATCTAGGGGCTGCAAGTCGCCCTCAACAGGCTATCCAAGAGAAGTACAAGACCTCAAAGTGAGTGGGTATTTAACATGGCTGTCTTGGTTTTTGCCTTATCCCTAATGACTAATCCCGTCTTTCAGACATTGTGGCGTGTCCCTTATTGAGCCTGTGGAGTCTCTGCCTCTCCCTTGACGTTTTGGTGACCACATGAATTCCTTGGCCCACAAATGAACTGCAGCGCTTAAGTCTCTTGTAAATATTGAATGAAATTGGTTTTTAAATGTTTTTTTAGACTTTTTAAAATGTGATTTTTATCATAGGTTGCTTAATACTATAATCAAAGTTGTGACTTGTTTCTCTGTAAATCCAACATTATGTTGGTCTGAAGGGTGAAATGCTCCCATTTCTGTACCACTTTGCCTACCCTTTCTCCCTTTGGGTCTCATTACTGGTAGACTGTGTTTTACTTGTATACTGCATGCAATATCATGTACTCCAAACTCTATCTCAATAAACAAAACAAGTTGCAGTGCTGCTTCCTTGGAGTCTTTTTGACCAGTGTGATGGGACATCTAGACAATTTTCCCTCATTTATAGTCTATAAATGCAAGGGAAAATGTCTTTCAGCCTAAATTAGGTTTTAGTAATGTATGCTGTCCACCTTCAGCCAAAAATATCTATTTTTTTTATTTTTTGGCAAAAGTGGAGACATTGGCAGCACCTGTTTGGTCACATACTGTCAGGGCTCCATAGTTTGTCTTAAACTAGAAAATGCACAAGTTCCTCTTGAAGAAATCTTGAGTTTTAGCAGGCAGCACAATAGCCTTTTTGCCTGTTTTAGGTTTATAGAAGATGGAGGAAAAGCTGTATCTTTTCTTGAAAGTAGTGATGGCTGTGCATCAGAAAATAAAGCCTTAGTAACAGTTATGATTGAGGCTAGAAGCAGTGAGGGTGATGGCAGGGAAAGTCAGGCTTTAATTATCCAACACCAGTTTGGAAGATGTGATCCTCAAACTAATATCCACTGCATATTGGCCTCATTACACTGGCAAGCAGGGATACTCCAAAATGTGTGGGGTACAGTCTTGAGCTACAATCATTGACTTGGGATTCCAAGAAAGAAAATGTTCTTTGGACACTAAAAACTAAGTAAAAACAAGTCTTGGTTGTAACTAAGACTTGTTTTTACTATCTATTTATTTTTTACTCCATTTAAGACCCTTTCACTATTTTTCACATAGTGGAAATGCACTTGAATGTGTGGAATATTTCAGACAATTTGTCAAATAATTTCCCCTGACAAAGTCCGTTCTAAATGTTGGCAGTTTAAAAAAAGGTCTAAGATCACATGTAGAAAACTAATTATGGAAAATGAATTTAGTCTTTTTTTTTTTCTAGTTGTGATTTCATCATTAGTCCCGTACAGAAGAGGATGAGGGCCAATTTATTCTCAATTTAAAAAGTTTATTCTCAAGAATGCATTTGGACTTTTTTTGTCGAAATTTAAAGAGTTTTTTTTTCTCGAAACACGACTTTTCTCAAGATTGTATTTCGACTTTTTTTTTTCTCGAAATTTAACGAGTTTAATCTCGCATTATAATGACTTTAATCTCGATATTTAATGAGTTTATTCTCAAGATTGTATTTCGACCTTTTTATCGAATTTTAACGAGATTAATCTCGCATTATAATGACTTTTAATCTCGAGATGGTTTTATTTTTTATTATTGCTTGGCCCTAATCCTCTTCTGTAGTCCCGTTTTTATGGTAAACAACGACCTCTAGCGCTTACTGTATGAATCCCCTCCCGAAAAGCAGGTTAACTCAGTTTTATCCATGCTGAGTTTTTTTTTAATCGTTCCATTGTTTATTTATTCATTACGACTATCTTATGTAGGCTTATATGACGTGTTTAACTTTAGAAAGCTGAAATCTGTTTGGGTATGGATCGAGACGAACAGGTTTCGCCCTGTGATATTCATTTTATTCTTTCTGGTGTTTTTATTTTTTTCCGCGCCTGGAGCGCTATAGTGACCAGACGCGCTATGAACATTGTTTTAGTTTTTTCCCCCGTAATCTGGTTGAACCTGCTTGGTCACAAAAGCTGGTTGTTAGTATTAATTGTATTTTCGAGCAGCCCGACTGTGACTCTTTTCCCAAGTAGCTATCTCGTAAAGCAGACAACTAATAGTAACTTTTTAGTTTTTAACCGCACAGTCATCTCTCGTCTAAAGTGTCCTGGCGTTGGAATGGAGTCATCAGATCCGGCTGAAATTCGAGCCATTCGCGAGAGCTTTGCGAAAGCTCTGGACTGCCTGAACACGGGGCTCCAGTATGATGATACTGGGAATAAGGAGCAAGCTCTTCTTCAGTACAGACTGGGCAGGCGGCATCTTCTCGGAGGGCTCGAAGTGAACACACAGGGCGCGCGCTGCGTCGGACGCGACTGGGACGTCGCGCGACAGACGCAGCTGAGTATGAACGAGACTCTGAGCATCATCACCTCTCGTCTAGGGGTGCTAGAGTCCACCGCGACCCCGGCTCAGCGCCTTTACCCGACCCTTCCTGTCCTCCAGGACCCCCAGCCACTAGCATCTAACACCAGAACACACCTCTCAGCTTCAGGAGGGGCCCCTGCTCGTCCTGCCTCCCCTATGGTGGGCACCACTGTACCCAGTGAGCTTCCACCAGCCTACACTCCACAACCAACAGATGGGCACCTCTCATTCTCTCATGGAGGCAACAGGCCATTTCAAGCTGCTCAGCCCCAGCGTCAGGCACTCGCCCCAGTCAATCTTAGAGAGGTTGGCATGGAGATTTTGTTCTTGCCCAGTGGGGTGCAGATGTTCTTTGTGTCTGCTGAGGGTCATGTCAGCGCCCCTTCTTATCCAGGATACCTACGAATAATAATATACAGCAGCCAAAACTCTGACAGGAGTGCTGGCTATGCCCCAGCCTACCTACAGGTAAATATTGTGTTTGGACAAATCTCTATATTCATTTGTTTGTCTTATTCTCTAGCTGTGTTATTGTTAAATAAAACTAAAAATTGGGTAACACTTTACAATAAGGTAACAGTTTACCTTATTATTAATCTTTGTTAATGTTAATTTCAACATTTACTAATACACTTTATGCAAATATTATTAACATTAGTTAATGCAACAATGTTGAGCAACTGTATTTTTTATTAACCAAGATTAACAAAAACAGCAACAAATGGATTGCTCATTGAGTTCATGTTAACTTTTACCAAAATTGTTTAAAAAAATCTGAAATAAAATAAAATATAAATATTAAATAAAAAACCTAAACAACTTAAACGAAAATGAGAAATGAAATAAATATTGAAGTAGCCTACTACAATTAAACTGAAATAAAAATAAATATGGGATTATAAAAAAAACGAATAAAAATGACAAAATCAAATTGATAACTGGACATAAAATTTAATAATTAACTAAATATAATAATTGTGACGTATTTTCCTTGTTTTAAACAGAAAATACTTTGAATTCTGTTTGATTTATGCTTAAAATTAAAAAATGCAGTACGAAAACATTGTAACTTTTTTATACATATTTTTACTGGCAAACAAGACAAAAATATTTATTAAGAAAATTATTTTTTGTGTGTATGAATTAACATATTCAGTTCAAAGTTTCATCTTCGTTTTTCTAAACTAGCATCACATCATATATTATCCAGCCTGTAAGCAAACTATTCACCACCTTGAAATATAGGTTTTCCTTGCACACAAGAGAGGTCTTGTGATGATCACATGAAAAACTGGGCGTATTTTTATTAGTAAGAATTACGTCTATGTAGGGTTTGGTTATTCTTGAACGTCACCAAAATAATTGAAATTACTGACATGCTCATCATGTTATACAATTACAGTCAGAGAGAAGTAGAAACCCTGTGTATTATTAAGAGAAGGATTGAGATTCATTTTTATTTGTGACAGCTTTTAAACTCGAGGTAGTTTTACTCTCAGTTAGTCACTTATATCTGACATGGCTTAAAAATGATTCACTTTCAAACATCAAAAGCTGGTTTTGCTGCTCCACCTCTTCTTTCAAACCCGCAAAAGCCAGCCCAACCGGAGTCTGTGGTGGTTGTATCAAATGCTTTAGGTCTGTTTGGTTTATGCAGTGCTAGAAACAGCCTTACGGATGAAGCCAGGGCTCTTTGTACAGAGTCAGTCTGCACGCTGGTTCAGCACATACAATCATTGAATAGCTGACTGTCGGCTCTGTGCAGGATTGGCAGATTTCCAGTTTGAGGGGTGATAGTTGTCCAGTGCTCCCATTGCTCTGGGGCTTGATGTAGGACACGTGCTGTCCACTCTCTAACATAACTGCTGCATGTGTCCCGCAGTGGTCTTTTGTCCCACTTTAGCCGTCCAGAACAAAGGGGGGCATTGTGAATGGTTGCACAGCGCCCAAAAATATGCAATAAAATTCCAGTCTCATTTGACCCCAGTTTTCCCTCATATGCATAGTGACATCCAATACGCATAAATTAATCTTTTTATAGAGGCGAAGTGATGACGTCACTTTGTAGGACAACCCGGAAGTTAGCGGCGCGTGGGTTGGGTTCCCTCGATCGAAAAGCTAAGCATTTTCCCCATAGACTTTTGGAAAATCGCAAAAAATAAGATCTGTGTTTAACTAAGAGTTGTGACCCTTAGCTACACGTTTTGTCTATCAAGATAATCTTTACGAGTTAATCCAAAATTTATACATTTTGAAGCCTATATAAAGTTTTAAAAAACACAATCAGACGCAATAAAGTTATAAAAAGCACAGGCAGGTTATAACTGGTGTGTTTTATGTCTTAGATCAAAACGTGAAAATATTTAGAGTTTTATTCACCACAGACCTTATTTCAGGCGATTTAGCAAAAACCCGTTCAAAAAACCCATAGACTTTAGAGCGAGGGAACCGGGAGTGCTAAAATGCTAACTCACTTCCGCGTTTTGGCCTACAAAGTGACTTCATAACTTCGGCACTGATCGTCTGTCACTACAATAAGTTAACCATGATAAATTATTTCTGATGACAGAATGATTATCATATTCTCTTCTTGCAGGCTCCTGAAACTCAGTTTCAAATGTTTCGTTTTAGAAGATTAGGAAAAGATCATGTAAGAAACTCTTAATTTTGTGCTTGCAGGTTTGTGATTGGATCTACCCACTGTACCCTGACTCCCCAATCTTACTTAGCAACAAAGGTGTGTTCACATTTCCTGACACCACAGCAGGAGTGCCAGGGTCCTACGTCGGGGTTGTGCTGTCCTCAGAGCTGCCTGCGGCGGACCGGGATCGGTTCCAGCAACAGCTGTCAGTGTTGGCACAGCTCAGGGTCCAGGTAATCAAACTCAGAGAAGAAAAAAAAAATGTTTAGCTGTTTCTGAATCTATATATTTAGTTTTCTATTACTTCTAATTGTCCGGCCACATTTAACATTATTTGGCAAAATCCAGTCATTTCAATAGGAATCCATGTGATCCGGAGGATTGTGTGAGGGCGAAACATTTTCCCACGTAGTTTGGGTTTGAGGCGCTCACACAAAGTGACTTCTATGTGAGTCACGCTTCCTGCATTATTCATAATTGGTAAAGTTATCCTTTAAAGGGATACTTCACCCCTGGAAAGATTAATGTGTATTTAAAATGGGTCATTTATGCAGAAGAAATGTGAAATTATTTTTGAATTTGGAGCTTTCTAGACTGAGAAAAGCCAGAAAATGTATTTTTTGTTTATGTGGATTAAAAGACAACAACTCCCAGAATGCACTTCGCTGCCCTAGGAGGCCACGCCTACCGGTAACAGAGTGCAGTAGTTAAACAACAAGTCTAGGCTACTAGTGAGTCTCCGTGCCCGAAAATGTGTTTCGAGATCTACAGTCGCCGTTCATCATGTTTCCTGTGGCGAGCGGGACGAGTGAGGGCCGCGGGAGAACAGCGCGAGGCCGGCGGCGTGATTACCGATGAGCGACACCTGTGAGACGCACCGGTCTCGTATCTCTCACGGAGGAGCGGGAATTTTCTTAGCGATGTTAAAACGCACATCAACCGATCACTTGTTTAGCGTTCATGTAAACACGACATTCAGATTCACCAATCGGAACGAATTCAGTTAGATTGAAACAAAAGCTGTGCATGTAAACAATGAAAAAGCAAAAGCTGAATCTCGGACATCGACGGCCGGACGTGTCCGGGAAAAAGAGGATGGTAACCCCGACTACTCAGCTTTCTCCACAGAACAAGAGCCTGCTAGCTTAGCTTCCAAAACAAGATGGCCGACACTATGTGTTCATTCTGTGAGTGAGATCGCCCTCTATGGGCGGGTTGAGGACATGCGGAACAGACCCGACTACTGACCGTAGTCTTTAATCTCTGGACAAAAAATCCTCCGATGACGCAAAAATCGTTTTTCCAGACAAAAAATACATAAATCTCTCGTCTCAGGGGGATGTGAGAGTGGAAAGCACGGTAATTCGAAAATACTACAGGTTTTCCACTAATACAGAGCGTAATGCTAAATCCTGAAGTATCTCTTTAAGTTTACTACCTCAAACTGGTTATAATTGAGTCCTTTTTATTTAAGGTAGATGAAGAGCAAGGTGGTGCTACAGGAAAAGACACAAACCTGAGTGAGAAGGTTCCTCCTTCAGAAACACAATCACCAGGAGGGGAGGAGAAACCTGTTCCCGTGTGGAGTGAAAAAATGTCAGAGAGCATTCTAGCAGGTCTGAACTTCACGATCAGAGTAAAGTCACCAAAAACTGGAATGTTTATAAGTATCTCATTAGATAACTGGGATTATTATTGAAGTAGAAATTGAGTAAAGTTGTTTGTCGTATTATATTTTGTTGAATTGTGCACACTTTTACCTTGATAGGATAGTATGCACACATTGAACACCTTATTGGTACATTTTAAAACTTGCCACTAGAGGCCACTCTAATACACAAGAAATACATGTGATGGCGGTATTGTGATTTGTCCCCTCAGGGACCTCCTGGCTGGGTCGGGAGCTTGTGCGAGGAGCTGAAGTGACCGGTAAAGCAATCCAGAGAGGAGCAACTAAGCTACGAGAAAACATCACCCCAGAGGAGACGCCAGCAGAGGTCAGCCCCAAGGTCACCAAGGGCCTAAATGCAGCCAAGCAGGCCACTGGGGGTGCTGTGAAAGTCAGCCAGTTTCTAGGTAAAACAATGGCGTATTCAGTTTTATCTTTTTTTTTTTTTTAAAGATTTATAACACATTTTGTTTTATTCGCCAGTGGATGGAGTCGCTGCTGTAGCAGATAGAGTTGGGAAAGAACTCGCTCCACACATGAAAAAACACGGTAGCAAACTCATCCCAGAATCCCTCAAGAAAAGCAAAGACGGCTGCTCCAAAATGGATGGAGCCAAGCTGGTGGCTGGAAGCAGCATACAAGGTAACCGAATGCATGTCCTGAAAGGCTTTTTCCATTTTACTTTTATCCTGCTTGATTTAGTATATCAAATTTGTCAAGCTAATTTTGTTGTAAACTGCAGGTTTATCAACTCTCTGGTCAAGTCTGGAGACAGCAGCAAAAACTATTGGCAAAAGTATAACTTCGGAGACGGTGACTACTGTGAGGCACAAGTAGGTGTTTTTTATTTATTGCTCTTCAAGATTCAGGGTTTCTCTTCTACTTTCCTATTACTCTTTTCCCCCGCCAATAGCCTGCTACTCTTGTTTTTTGCTATTGCTTTGGGAAATGGTTTAATTTACCCCTCTTTCCTGTTGCTTTTTCAGATTTAGGGGTCTAGGAAACCTCTTGGACCCCCCTAGCAGAATATAAATGGTGGCGGGTAAAAACACACTGCATTTTCTTTGACTAATGCCAAGTTCTAATACACCAAATAAGTGCCTTATTTGAGTTATTTGAGAGTTAATGACGATTCAGAAGTTGCTGAGAAGGCTCTTGTTCTTATTAACGGTCTGTCAGTGTGCTTTCTGAATTAAAACTGAGGTGAATGCAACATTGCCATGTTCTGTTCATTTTTAAATGTCTCACTTTTTTTTAGAATCAATAGTCAGACAATGTTTACACCTCATTGAATCACTCCTGTCAGCTCAGAATACCTCCATGTTTTGATCAGGTATGGAGACGAGGCAGGACAAGCTGCAGACACTGCAGTACAGTCGGCTGTCAATGTAGGTGTCACAGCGTTTAATGTGGACAATCTGGGCATCAAGGGTGTACTGAAGAGCACAGGCAAGCAAACTGCAAAAGCAATGGTGAAGGATGAGTCAGGAAGTGACGGAACTAAGGAGAAAGAAAAGCCACCTATAGAAGGGCAGGATGAGAAAAAATAAGGAAATCATTTTGTCATGATTTACCTTTTATCGTGTATGTTCTTGTAGCACATATGATCATTTTGTATTGATAATGAGATACTGTGTAATGTTTACAGAGAGATGCACTTAGACACTGTATTAGTCAAATGTTCTACCTTTGTTACAGCCTTACTTACAGATAATATATTTCTATTTTCTTAAAATATTCAGAGGGTTATATTTTTAGAAGGAAACAATTGCATGTAATTTAGGAATTACATTTAGGATTTAGCACTTTGCGCCCTTTGGGCCATTATTGTAGCTCAAGTTAATCTTCTAGCAAGTGCCTCATTAAAGTTTACTACAAAAAATAATAATAATAATAAAAAAAAAATCATAGTAACTTTTTTTTTTTACTGTATTTGTATCTAACTGAAAAATCTAACTGCTACTTTTTGTAACTTTTGTGTACAACTCCCATAGTTGTAGGCTGATAAAATTAGTAAGTTTCTTCATGCATACCTTCTATTTGATATGAATGTACATTTGTCAAACATCAACTTACAGTGTTGTTGTAAATAGTAAAACCAGGTTAAAGGTTATTAATTTAGGTAAGGTAACAGCATCTAGAATAGTGGCCAAAAGTAATGTCTAAGGGGGATATTTGCACACAAAAAATGCTTTTAATGACACTTAAAATGACACAGGTTCTATTAAACAATCAAAATATTAGGAATATGTTATATTGGAAAGAAGAATACACTAAACTTTGTTAAGGTAAAAGACAAAATTATTTAGCAAGAAAGGAAAACTCTGATATACGATATATAATTATATATGGGGTTTATTTTATTGTGCAAAAAAAAAAAGAAAATTACTTTACAAGAAATAAAGTAGGCTATTGTTTTTGATTACAGCAACCAAATTCAGTGTTGACTAGGCAACTTTATGCATGTGTCCTGCTTAACTTCCTTTCAACCTTTAGAAGTTCGTTCTAAAGTTGAGATTCATTGTTAAACCTGCATTAATTATCACAATTCAGGTTAATAATTTCCCAATGTTTTTTTCAATGGCTTCAAGGTCAGGGGACTGAGTCGCCATCGGGCCATTTTCTCTAAACCCCACAAAACAATATCTTATAATATAGCTAACACCTGCCCTGCCACAGCAGTGATTTATTGAGTTATAGGGTGGGAATGAGTACAAGCTTGGTATGACCACTTGGCCATACATGACGTTTACACAATTTCATTGCGTCATCATGACTAATGATACAATTGGAAAGTGGAACGTTCCGAACGCGTACATTAATTTTACACCCCAGACACAACTTTTTGTAAATAAAAAAGTAAGATGGAGGAAATTAATGGTCCTTGGTCGGACATCACTGGTTTTGGCCACAACTGTGTTGAGTGATCGCGTGAACAGGGTCGTTGCCATGAATACAGCGCAACAATCAGCATCGCATGACAGAAGAAGTGAAACCCATCCAGACTAAAGATGGGAGAAACTAATGTCAGAAAAGATGAGTTATCCCATTCCCAACTGCAAGCAGAAGTCGAGGAAGAGAGAGAGAGTTCAAGTAAGTCAGAATGCAGTTTCAAATCGAGCTATTACACCCAATTAATTGTATGAAATCGTTTTATGTAACTTTCGTCTTTTAAAGGGACATGTTGCAGGATTCAGTGTCTGACCTGAGGAGCACACTGGCTGATTTGGAGAAGAAACTTCACAGTGTAGCTAGATGGAGAAGGTCTGTACATGATCAAACGTACCAGGGCAGTTGTTCCGGAGACTGAATTAGAAATGACCAAATTATCTTCCCCAATATTTTACAATTCTTGCACTCCATTATGCGGCGATCTTGATAGGATTACAAAACGTTTTAAAAGTTACATTTGTATGGTTTTCCCACTACCCGACGGTCTAACTATGGAATTCCAAAGTAAATGTTTTAATCAAACAGATCTCAATCCCCATTGACTACCATTATACTATGGTAGTCAATGGGGAATGAGATCTGTTTGATTAAAACATTCTTCCAAATATCTTCCTTTGTGTTCAGCAGAACAAATAAACACATAGAGGTTTGGAACAACATGAGGGTGAGTAAATACTGACAGAATTTTCATTTTTGGGTGAACTAGCCCTTTAAACATGACGATTTGTCGAATATTGCAAAATAAATGTGTAACGTTACAACTTCATTTTGCAAAATTCGACAAATCATCATTTGTCGTTCATGTTCGTACGTTAACTGTTTTGGCAGTTTTTCAATTAATTTTTCTATTCTATAAGGTTTAACTATTATTATACTAAGGTTTTACTACTATATAAGTGTTTTGGCCCTCTCACTTTTCCACGGGCCCGCCCAAAATACAATTTCTGCGGCCACTTGAATGCTATTATTAAGAGTCAATGTTAAGACAATGTATCTCATAATATGTAATTTCAGTATAAACCCACATTACATTTAAGACACTAATTGTTGTAAATATTATTCGAATGATAAAAGAGGTTGAGCAGTGGTACCACATGTTCTTTCTGAATCGTGACGGAGCTTCGAGAGCAGCCTAGACGGGGCGGGGTGTGTGTGTGTGTGTGTGTGTCTGTGTGGGGAGGGATGGATGTGCAGGTCTGCGGTACGTGGCTGAATCTCAATGAGAAAGCGGCCAATGCAAGACACGGAGAGAGAGAGAGAGAGAGCCAGCAGCAGCTGCCGACCGACCAGCCAGCCTCTGCGGGACAACAAAGGAGGAGCCGGGCTCACATCACGACTCCTGTCAGCACAACTCAACATCTGAATCGTGACCATTCAGAAGAAATCTTCAACATTACCGACATCTTCACCTTTAGGCAAGTAGAAATATCTATTTATTGTCTGCAGCAAAATAAAATAGCCAGAAAGCTCGCAAATATTCTGACCTGTCTGTTAGAGAATGTTATTTGTTTTGGTCATTCTAATTCATTTGAATTGTTCGCATTAAATGGTCATTGACGTGACGTTCAATTTTGACCGGATCTAAGTTGATAAAATTCAACTCAAACAAATATGACTTAAAAAGTTTTTATTACAGAATTAAAAGTAAGTTTTATGTTTGTGCGACGTAGTCAAACTGTCTACTCTATGTGATGTATTCTTGAAAAAAAAATATATATATATATTTTAAAAAATAGGCTAATTGTTTGTGTCTGCATGTTTTTAAATATTTTATTCAGATGTTGATATTTTCATGAAATGTTTAGGTAGAAAAAAATCTCTTGATATTCCTAACTAAAATGATTTTGCTTCAAATAATACTTGGGAAAAGTGTTTAGAACTTTTGGAAAAACACAAAACAAAACAAAAATACGACGAAGTGTTCATTTATGCACTTTTCACTTGACAGTAGGCTAGTCTAAAATCTATTTTAGTGTCAATAATCCAAAATAGGCTAGTTGTAAAAATGTATAGGCTATAAATAGCATATGAAAGCAATAAGAATACAAAGACCTCAATAACATGGCGTGTTTTGAACTCGATCAAGGATTTTTACATCGATCCTCTTGAAATCAAGAAACAGCTTACACTTTTACACAGCTATCACACTTTAGTGTTTTGCCATGTCAAAGACTGTTAAAGACAACAGTGTGACAGACGCAGGATTTAACGAGCTCCAAGAAACATGTACTAAGCTGTCATTAAAAGGTTATTTTCAGACGACCCAGCCGGCATTTCAACGTTGATTCAACGTTGAAACAACGTCAGGTACCATGGTTGGATCAACGGTGAATTACCTTTCGATTTTGCAAAACGGATCAACGTTGATATTGTGACGTCGTTTCACCGAGGAAGAAACAACGTTGATTCACCGTTGAAATCGCGACGTCGTTTCACTCTTACCTTTCAAGTTATGGTCTACTGTCGACGTTGAATCACCTTTCGATTGAATCCGCGTTGATATTTTAATCCTGTACCCGCGTAGCCTTCCTGTAATTTTGGTTAAAGGTCAACACTGAACTGTTAACTTTTTTTTCGGACCATATTTAGTATTTTCAGCAACTAATAAAACTTAATTTGCATGATTTGCAATTGGACAGCATAAAAACGTTGTAACAATTAGATGTTCATATATCTACAGTGCAGGGATGAGATGCTTCATTTTTTAAAGAAAAAGTTTAATAATTAAACCAAATGGAAAAATACATTTCCTTAGAATCTAAATATACATCTATATTGTACATTTTACACTTTCACATAATGTATTGAAAAAAAATCTCATTCAACAACAAAGCATTTTCTTAAGGGTTTAATGATTTCAGACTGCAGAGGGAAAAAGCTTTTCATTCAAATTTCATACACACTGCAATCATTCACAGAATAGCTTATAAAAATAATTACAAATATCGTTAGGAAACTTGATTAAGTCTTTGACCAAAAATACATAAACCGTAACACTGACAAACCATAAATGTTAAAATTGAGAAGGACATGACTTTCTCTCAACATAATTTTCTCTGGGTACTGTGAACATACTTTCAGAAGCCTAGACTCAAGACCGAAATACCACCACAAAATTCTGTGCATCAACATGGCGAGGAGTCCCCAAAAGTGTTCTGGCATCCTTAGGCAGGCAATGTCTCAGCACAGAAAGGAGCTCATCTACAGATGTCCGTGTTGTTTTGTTCCGAACCGCCCATTTTGCCAAATCACTCCATAACTCTCTGATTTCATCTGAAGAGGAGCCTGTTTCAGTGTCATCACTTTCACTGCTGTGCTGTTGGTCATCCAGATCAAGATTCTCAAGATTACTGTCAGCAATACTTCCTGCACAATCTTCTCTCAGAAGGTTTTCAGAACTGATGGTTGCACAAACACCAGCCTGGGCAGAAACAAAAAAATGATCCTCTGAGTCACTACTAGAAAGCGTCATTGCAAGCATTTTGCCGTCTCCATTTTTTTAATGGTTCGCCATCTATAAAAATTAAGTATGAATTTCATATGCCATAACTAGAAAGTACAGGACACTGATAAAACTATTTTGAAAATTGTCTAAAAATATATATATAATATTTTGGGCTGATTGGGCTGGGTCTTTCCCACAGTGGGAATGGGATTGTAAAAAAAAAAAACGGTCGATTAAAATTTAAATACTTCTAGTTTTGTCAAAGTCTGTGTAAAGTAAAATTTGAAAATTTGTGAATTGTAAACACATAAATGTTAGAAATGCATTGTTTAAACATGTTACAAAGACTGTGAAATACATAATATTTGATGGTGGAGTTATACTGTTAAACAGTTTTTCACCATTTTTTTATGAGCAAGATTTATTGGGCAGGGGATCAAAAATCACTAAAAGTTTAGTTAGAAAGCCAGATTCAGACATATACATGCCTTTTGATTCAACTAAAACAAAAATATGGATATGATGCTTTGAGTGACAGCATGAGCTCCGCTGTTTGCAGTAACAGTTAAAAAAGATAAATAATGCAATTTTCATCGTCTTTTTAAAGGGATACTCCACCGTTTTTTCATATTAAACTATGTTATTCCTTAACTAAGGCGAGTTGATACATACCTCACTCGTCTCAGTGCGTGCGCTCAAACGCTCTGGTGCACGAGACACTGTGATCGCACTTAACTGGCCCAGGTCATCCAATAGGGTCCAAGCAGAGAAGCGACCAAACAACTCTGCGTTTTCCCTCAGCGCAGTAATATCATCACTCCGGATAGGGAGAGAGGACTTTTCATGAGTGATGATGATATGATATTACTGCGCCATAGATAGTCCATAGATATATATGCGCCGAGTCGAAGTGCTCCCAAGCACTTGCTGTGGTATTCCGCCATACATTATAGCTATCCACTTTACACGATTAGAAAAGCGCAACGTTTTATTTTGTGTCACCATCCTAGGTCGAGTTACTCTACTCGTATAACTGTATTTAAATAGGGAAAACGTGGAGGTGTTTGGTCTCTGCTTGGCCCCTATTGAATGAACTGCGCTGAACTATGTGCTATCAAAGTGTCTCGCGTGCACGCACTGAGACGAGAGAGGTATGCATCAACTCGTCTTGGTTAAGGGAATAACAGTTTAATAAGAAAAAAAAAACAAAAAACAGTGGAGTATCCCTTTAAGAAAATTATGCAAAATAGATGTGCACGGCCAGTGAAAAATAATTCTGGACCCCATAAACAAACCTTATTTTTTAATTCCGACTAATAGCGGTTTCATGCTGTAAAATGCAGGACTCACTGTGAGTTGGCTGGTTTCTCTGAGAAAACTCTGAGCACGAAGTCTCCCTCTTTGCTGGGCTCGAAAGTGGACAACACGATGTCCTCTCCGGCCAGCAAACGAAAGCGTGAGCTCACCTCCCGCAGGTTGATGAAGAGCTCAGAGCGAGCGCTGGACACGTGACTGAGGAAGAAATCTCGCTTCAGGTGTATGGCCGACCTGCCCGAGAAACACACACAGCATCAACTGAGGGTTGAAATCCTGAGGGTCAAAACTCTGAAATATCTCACAATCTAAAATTCAGTCATTCAAACGGCCTCTCATCGTACCTCATTTATTGACGCAAGGGAGCCACCGAGCACTGCCCCGACTGCGAGACATCAATTCACATCTAGGCTGTGTGTGTCACTGGGTTGAAAGAGCATGCAAGGATTTCATTTACTCGTTTGGTAATTTCCTTTTTTTCCACATTTAATTCTCACGGTTTAGCCCTAATTTGACTGGACGACATGGAGGAACATTTTGACGAGAGGCACAAAGTGCATCGCCACAGCCGGAGCGCGGGACGGGCGAACGGGCTGCTCAGCCCCACTCACAGCGCTCACTGCAGCCTGTACCGGACGCGCACCCTCAAAACTCTGAGCTCGGAGAAGAAGGCGAAGAAAGTGCGCTTTTACCGCAACGGGGACAGGTACTTCAACGGCATAGTATATGCCATCTCATCGGACCGCATTAGAACCTTTGACGCTTTGCTGGCCGACCTGACCCGAACCCTCTCTGACAACGTCAACCTGCCTCAAGGGGTCCGAATCATCTACGCAATCGATGGATCCAAAAAAATCACCAGTATAGAACAGCTGGTGGAAGGTAAGAAGTTCTTTACATATTATATTTGTATAGTCTACTATAATCAACATTTGTATATGCGTATTTTTAGTAGCCTAATTGCTTCATGGGATTGTAGTTCTTTCCCTCAGTTTTCCTCTTTCCCAGTCTTGTAACCAGAGCCGGACAGTACGGAGTACATTTACTTGAGTAAAGTACTTAAGTAAAGTCATGAGTACTCCCCAAAAATGATACCCGAGTAAAGTATAGATCCCTCAAAATTCAACTTAAGTACATTTGAGAGGGAAATATTGTACTCTTTACTCCACTGCATTTCTATCCATAACCGTGAGTAGCCTACCTGTTACTACTTCTAAAAAAAAAAAAAAAAAAAAAAAAAAAATGGGAAAAGACCAATTTGTTGTTTTCCTCTCAAATGTAATTGGATTGTGCAGGCGCCACTGATTGGGACAGCCTATCAGCAATCACCTTCAGCTTTCCGAATCAAAATTACAGGTGTGAAACCTACCCTGGACCACGGTCCGGACCAAACAGATGAAATTTGGTCTGACAAAAAAGGTCCGGATCAAACTGAACATAGGTTTGGTTCGTTTCTAGTGTGAAAGCATTTCTGTATGGTTCAGACTTTTTACAGGAAGTTCTGGAGCCGAAAAAACAGAAGGTGAGAGAGCAGTAGGATGAAAAATTAGGCCACTCAATGATGAGCATTTAAGTCTGCATGACTTTAGCTTAAATCAATGCATTATGACAGGCAGTGCCTCAGGTCCTTATCCTAAAAATGAATGTCAAGCACGCATCATTTTTATTGAAGATGTGTAAATATTGTATGTTCTTTTAATGATTATAGGTGAGAGTTATGTGTGCGGCTCCACCGAAGCCTTTAAAAAACTCGACTACTCCAACAACATCAACAACCCTAACTGGTCTGTGAATGTGAGGGTTTTGGGTTCCAGCAAGTGCCCGACATCTCTAGCAAGCTCGAAATCAGGACCGCAGTCCAAAGAGGGCAAAGACTTCATCAGACCCAAACTGGTCACCGTCATCCGCAGCGGGGTGAAGCCGCGCAAGGCAGTTCGCATCCTGCTCAACAAGAAGACGGCCCACTCCTTTGAGCAAGTTCTCACGGACATTACAGATGCTATAAAGCTCGATTCTGGCGTTGTCAAGAGGATCTACACCCTTGAGGGAAAACAGGTAGGATTGCTCATTCAATATACTGGAAAATCTGTTTTGAGTCGATTCATTCATGTGATTTTACCTCTGACGACTACAGTGATAGTTTTGTTATGTAAGCTGAACTGGCATTGAAAACTTGAAAGGGTACTGGGATTGCACATTGGGTGTCCCAGATAATTGACATGCAATGTTAGAAATGATTCAGCTGAGTTAATCTTCCTATGTGATTGTAATCATTCGACTCAATCGTAGACCTTAAAGTGTTGTGATGAATTGTTCTTCTCTGGTAAATCCTTAAGGAATATCCTAGAAATATGGGGGCTTAACATCCAAACAATGTGGCTCTTGTTATTAAATCTTTGTAATGAATTCATACCACAAGCCTTGAATTATGAATAATGAGGTCTCATTATTTCAAATGTCTCTGCCTAACCTGCAGCTAGATTTATGGCAGATCGAGTCTAGTTTATGAATGGGATTCTGTGTCTTTGCCCACGCAGACTCAAAATGAGAGAGCATACAGAAATAACTCATGCTCTCGCTTAAATTCCTCCCACCTTTTCATGCCACTCTGAAACAGCCGTGCCCTCCCCACGCATGGAGAATAACACACACGTGCATAACACACTCCGATGATATACATATATACACACAAACACAAAAAATAAATAAATTTGATCATACACTCACTGTAAAAAAATATTGTTGGTTTAACTTGAAATTTGAAGGTTAACCAGGTTACTTCATTTTTTTAAGTCCATTGAAATGGAAAGTTAATTGAGATCAGAAACTCAAAATATTATGTTATGTGATCTACTCAAATCATTTAAGTTGATTTGACAAAAGAAAAAATGTTGTGATTACAAATCATGAAAATGTTTTCACAGTGCTGTAAATAACCCAAATAACAAGTTCAAATGTTCTTATTTTCATTTAATTTTTTTTAACAAATTATATTATCAGTGAAACAAAGTGAAAAGTGGATTTTGAAAAAAGTAATGTATTTGGTTTGTCCCCTTTATCACTCAAGCTACATGAGCTTCAGTTTGAGAATGAGAATTGAATATCACATGCTTCATTGGAAGCAAATCTGACCTTATGTTACAAAGGAGTCACATGACTAATGTCTCGAATTTTTCATAATGTTTTTCATTCAAAATCTTAAACGTTTAATTTGAAATCCCAGGTTTTGTACAAGAGCATCCCTCAACGACACGTGTCTCTTCTCGGCCAGGTAAAATGTGCAAATAAGGAGACGCCATTTGGCTGAAAAATTCATTAAAAACGAATTAATCTCCACATGAATCTCCATTCATCTCTGTGCTGGTGGCTCTGCCAGTGTCTCAGATCTTCAGACTTCATCTTTTCTATTTAAAAACCCTCTAAATCACCTTGAATTTGGAAAACTGGAGCATAGACAGATTGGAATTGCAGATGCTTCATAGAATGTGCAGTCGTGCATGAGACGATTTATTGGCTTTTTAGAGTAGCTGTATTGAGGGACAAATATATGCATTAAAAAATTAAAATGAAATTCTTTCAGTTGTTGCATGAAACATGATTCAAAAAAGACGTTCTCCCTCCGGTATAATCTGATAGCAGAGGTTATGAGGTAAGGCGTCACAGCCCTGGTCACCATCCAGATAAAGTAAGAGCATTATGGCTAGCATTATTTTTAGAACAAAGATCGATTGGGCCTGAGGGAGCCGTTTATTGAACAAGCCTGGCCAGACACAGTTACAGGACATGATTTTGTCCTGATACAATTATGAATACAATGAAGCAACAGAAACCAGGAAGGATAGACAAAGGGAGAAAGTAAAAGGAGATAGCAGAGGGATCTATGTGGGTGGGCTAGTGAAAAAAAAAAATGCATGACAAGTGAAACAAGTTCAGGTGTACAATTAACAAAGCAATAAATGTAAAATTTCCTGTTTTTTGTTCAGTTTGAATGCAGGATCCAGGTGTGGAGGCAGATATGTCAACATTTATTGTTGTTGTGCTTTGTTTGATGAGTTACTAAAGTAAATCGGGTGGTTAATGTAATTTCTAAAGCCATTTTTAGATAAGTTCAGTGTTGTTGAAGCATGAAGTAATTCAATATCTTCTACATAACAAGACTGTGCTGTTTTTTTTGTGGTCTTATATTGGTATTATAGTATAGCCTTTTGCGATAGGCTCATATTGTTTTGCCAAAAAAAAAAAAAGGATTTCTGATTTTTATATTACATTTAAAGTGCTAAGTGAGAGTTTGGTGTAGAGCTGAGTCCGGATATTATTCAACAAACCATAAGTTTTAGCATGCTAATAAATGTAAATGAACCTGCCTGTGCCCTATGAAAGAAAAAGATGTATTTCTGCTTATCTCCTTTATGTTTATCTCCTGCCCTGGTTCAGTATAATGTAATGTACTCCAAACAGAGATGCATATTTCATCTCTGAAAGCAGTGGATTGGAAAGCTAATTGTAAATGCAAAGAATTGGAGATGGACTGCAATCTGATTACTCGCATGGGAGGAAGGTTAAGGATGAATGTGATTTTAAAAATTGTAAATATGTTTCTTCAAGCTACAGATTGTCGTGTGGCAAATGTGTGTTCCTTCTGTTCATGCGAGTCTGAATTCATGTGTCAAACGACAGGCCTTGACGTCTTCAGTGATTTTTTTCGTTATAACATCTTCCTCTGATGTCTGTAGCACCTGTCGTGATTGTAAAAATAGACATGAGATGGTAGAATGCATGTGAGATGCATGTAGCCAATGTCTCAATGTGGGAATGAAATGTGACTGAATGGAAAAAGCTCATGATCACGAGAGATCTGGGTTTTTGGGTCTTTGCGTGAGTCTCATGACACCTTTCTGATAACCTGTATAATGAGGCCAGAGACAGTAGATCAAGGTCTTATTCCATCTTATATGGTGAGACGTCTCTCTGGAGTTTTACTAGGAAGTGAAGGATGGGTTGTGACAGGTTTTATGATGTAAAACGCAGTGATGTTGTACCAGAAAAGAGCAAAGCATACTACGGCTCTGTATAAATGTGTGTGCTTAGATGTGTGTGCTTGAATGCTGTGTGAGTTATCATCTCACTAAATGCACTGCAGTTGGCAGTTATAGGATGAATATTGTCAGTGGCAACTATTTCTGGAGTGATTTGGCGATAAAGGATCTGTGGAATTCTTTGGGTTATGTTGATTAGTGTAAATAGAGCTGGTAATACATTACCACTAAAAAAGTGTGGGGTCGGTACAGTTGTTTGACAGAAATCAATGCTTTTATTCAAAGGATGCATAAAATTGTTCTTCAAGCAATCATGAAAAAATTAGGGCTGTCAAACGATTAATCGCGATTAA